TTTTAATTCTAAAATGATTTTAAAGAGAAGATTAGTTCAAGATATTTGTATATGCACTTTACTGAACATTGACAATGATTGAAATCTAGTCATGAATTCACGGTTTCTAGACTTGCATCTTGACACTGTATTTTATATCCTATGTTGCGTTAAGACTGTAAGTCACTTCGTTATCGCTTGTACCGTCAAATTCGGTATTTTCTCAATAACCCTGAACGTATCACGTGCCAACCCAGCATTTAAGTATTAGATAGTGGTCATGATTTTGCCTTTTAAAACAAATTTCGACGTTCATCGGTAATCTTGTCGGCATAAAGGCGGCCACTTGGGATTATTGCGGGATCGATGACGTAGACTCGCCTCTGCGACCTCTTTGATCTTTCGCCGCGATCCAGCGGCTCCAAGGTCCCCACTAGACAACCTTTTATATTTATCAGGCATTGCTTTTTAAATTATTTAATATATAAAAATATCAAAATCACTTATTTCAAACGATGAGAATTGTGGATAAAACGATATTTCTTCATTATTTATTCCGACTTCTGAATTACAAAAAGTAACATTTATTTACTCCAAACATTAGGCCATGATTGCTTTAAGGGTGAAAAAACTTCACAAGTGATGACAATATATTAAGAAAAATATACTAAAATTCTTATTAAACCGGTTGTTTTTTTAGCATCAATCATCTATACAATCTTTAGGCTAAACTCCCCTCAACAAATCTTAGCCTCAGATTTATTAATTCAAATCCTTGTCATTTTTACTCCATTTAATTTCTTTTTGTTTTCAAGTTATTTCAATTTAATTTCGTATGGTGGAGCCCACTTTAAATGCACATATGAAAATGCGTAAGACTTTCAGAACTAGCAAAAAAATCAGCTAACATCAAGACAGTGTGCGGAAATACACAATGCAAAGAATTAATAATAAAATAGAATAATAATAATGTTAAGTTTAAAACGATATCTAATTGAGACGCATGATTGACATAAAATAGACAGACATCTTGTTATCACGTACCGCTGCCATGGAATTATGGATAAAAGTAAAAAAAAATGATGAAACACTACGCAAGGATATGTCAAAGAAGACCATTAACATAAAATCTATCAAAATATTTCTATTGCCTCCTCATTAAAAACAGGTTTACATCTTTATCTTATGGCAGATCCAACGTCTTATGAAATTACTCGGTTTCGTGTGAGTGAAATTATTGGCATTCCTGCAAAAATGAAGTTCAATAGAAATTTAATAACATTCTTCCCTGGAAATTTATGTCGTACCAAGCCAACAAAAAATTCAAAGACCTGAGGCAACCGAAAGAATTTCATAACTTGCTCAAGCTGAATAATAATAAATGAGCCTAACTAGCGTTTTCAGAGGTTGCACGGACGTTATATAGGCAATAAATAATTGAACTAAGGGAGGGTAAAGCCAAGGAAAAAGCTAAAGCAATGCCACAAAAATTCAGTTCAAATCGAAATGAAACGAGCAGACTAAACATTTATAAGGTTCAACTTCGTTTACTAAAAAAGGAATTAGAACGCCAATGTGCTGTTCACGCCTCTGTGTGACTGCATCAGTAGTTTTGGTTTATGGAGGAATAAATTATTGTGGTTTAGTTAATTCAATGCCCTATTATAGCGCAGCACAGTTCCTTTTGATGATGCCAATGTATGGCAGCATTTGAATTTGTTTAATGGCGGAAAAATCCACATTTTGCGAGTTGCATGCTGCAGAGCACCTCCGGAGGTCAATGTATGGCAGCATTTAAATTTGTTTATACATACAGGAGAAATTCGAAATTTTGCGAGTTGTGTGCTTTCCTAGGGCTGCAGACTGCAGAGTTCCTGTTGATGTGAATGTATGGCAGCGAGAATAGCGTCGTCTGGACTCAAAAGGCCAATGATGGGTCGATGGTCGACCATCAATAACTTTGCCGCCTGGACTAGACCAGCAATTTCTTTCTAAACATGGATGGGAGGGTGCGCTTCTGACACAGCGGAGTTAGAGTAGCTTTGAATATCATCACTTTTTAGTAATTATGAAGTATTTGTCACCAACATTAAATGAGACCAAGAATATTTGACCATCCAAAAATTTTCTTGGAATTCACAGTGAAGATGGATACTTACCGCTTCAACTATTTTTTTACTTTGGTATTCGAGATGCTATTAAAATGAGACTTTGTATTGGTTTAAACTAGAGTTACTGATAAATTCATGAAAGGCACAATTTCATGCGATTCATCCATTGTTAGGTCACTCAATAACTGAACATCATTAAAATACTAGACCATGTTCAGGAAATGGAAGTTGGACTGATTGCAAAAATAATCAACAATGTTAAATAAATCGAATGATCATTAATATATAGGGTTGTCTCTTGGTTATCTTTTGCGCGGGTTTTGGGTCCTACGGAACCAGCCATTCCTAAACAGCCAAAAAACTAGGTCGCAACGAACCCTTAAGCTTCATAGTTAGAAAATTTGCATCCCGACTGTCCATGAGCTTATCTCTCAGTCGCCGACCATTCATTTCAACCATTTTCCATTCCTTACAGTCATTTTCATGTCAACAAATTTTATCGCACTATTCCTTTGGCGAAATATTAAAATTACTAGAATCAACAGCAGTTAGCATGGTTAGGCATCTAGAAAAGTTAAGTTACAAGAAAAAAGGCATTATTTTTAATGAAACATGCTTGAACGAAGAGCTCCTCCCAAAATTTACTAATTTTGGATATTAGTAATTATACATATTCATAATCACAATAAAATTACATCACCAGTGAATCCATAATCATAAAAATGTAATATTGGCAATTTAACTAGTCCATTAAAACATTATTTACGTGGTACACACCATCTCCACTGATCCGTTTATATAATATGTCTTTTAATTCAATTTAATCTGCTTGTGTCAACTTTCTTGTCAAAAGTCCCGCATGCGTGGTTATGTCGACTTGGTTGACGTAGGGTTACGTCGCATGCATAGTTGCGTCGAAGTACCTTTTTGTTGAAGCACACTACTCATATTTAACTTATTTCGCAAATTTTGTAGCCCAAAAATTTTCTATATGCACTGTAATGGTACAGCTTTACGTGCAATAAAGTTGAACGAAACTCAACGAACTTGTTGACAAAATTCGAGTCTTGTACTTGAAGGGGACTTAATTATAGCCACCCAGTCCGCAGTTGATGTTTTCAACGGAAATAAAATACAAGGCAAATCTGCAATGTGTTTGCATGTTCCACTTTCATATATTTTACTATTTGTTCGGTCGACAAACTTGTTTTTGCCCAGGCCTGTAGGCCCGTGGAACGCGTGCTTGAATAATTGAACTATTCCAGCGATATGGACGAGGGCAATAATATATAAAGTTTCCATGGTTACTATAGGATTCAGTCTACTGCAACTCCAGCGACCTTCCTCGGAAATATTGCTGCTGAAATATATTGCAGCGAGATTTGTTTCCACGTGCCACGAAGTTCGTGAAACTGAAAAATATCAATATTTATTCGAAGTTCTCATCTGGAGTAGTTCATAATTAACTATTTTCAAACTTGAGGTATCTCCGACTAATGGACTTTACTGTGATGCAGCCTCAACAACTGGTGATAAATCTACGTGTAGCGACGAACGAAATAAGGCATTAAGCTTTAAGACTTGATATTTATCATACCGCTTTATTGGGAGTGATAAGTAGACCATCATTATTACGGTAACGACTTCTTGAATGAGAATGAAAGTACCAACTACAGGCCAGGTCAGCTATGTGAGTCCCGTACTTAAGATAACTGCCAAGTGACACGCTCATGAGCAAAATGTGTCTGCCTGATCTGTTAATATGTATATTCCTAGCCTAAAACTCTAATACTTTCTAATTCCTTTTTTCCTTTACTAAGTTTTAATGCTTTCTAATTCCTTGATGCCGAATAGAAGATTCAACAGAATAGGGTCGAAATTTTATTTTATGGTAACAATTCACTAAAATTGTAATCAAATAATGTGGAGAAATTGTTTAATGCACTCCAATAAAAACTGAATAAAATATTGTCAATACTTGGCTAATGTATAACATTTCCGGCTCATTAGCTGCCAGGTCACAATGCTTCTTCATGGGATCAAAGTGCAGTCACGTTCATGGATGTGGGAGATTATCTGCTTAACGAGCCACACCTCAAATGAAGAATAAGAATATGCAAGAATATCGTGCATATCTATAGCATTATGAGGCCTGATGTAAATAGCTGTTTGATACAGATCATTAAATGTGCTAGGAAATTTCTACTTTTACCTTAAATTACAATGATTTCATTAATATTGAAACGCTAGTTAATACATCCAATAAACTGCTTGGGCTGATCAGACGCTCCTACGAGTACCTATATATAGAAATGATGAAGCTGTTGTTCACCTCTGTCGTGCGCCCAAACCTAGAGTTTGGAAACGTTGTGTGGTCACCGAGACTTGAAAAGGACAAAAATTTATTTGAGAGTGTTCAAAGACGTGCAACAAGGATAATACCAGGATTAAAGGGCAAGTCTTATGAAGAAAGATTGAAGATTATGAAGCTTCCCAGTCTCCGTTATCGTCGCCTGCGTGGTGACATTGAAGTATACAAGTATACTCATGGTTTGTACAAGGTCCCAGAAGGATTACTAGAATTTGAAACAAGAACCAACACCAGGGGCCACAGCTATAAACTAAAACAACTGCGGTTCAACTTATCCACGCGACAACATTTCTTCTCGCTTCGAGTCACTGACATGTGGAACAGCCTCCCTGAAGATATTGTTGAGACTAGACAAAGCCATGCATGAGCATATGTTCAGTCTTAAAATGCCTCGTACCCTACGGAACAACTGATATCTAGAAGCGATTTTAAATCTACCGTCCGTAAGGCCAGTCTAGTCAAGAAAAGTACAAGAATCGGCGACAGGCCTATCCAGGCCTATTTATTTAATGCCGGAGATACTATACTATACTATAATAAAATTCTGAAGCTGGTTTTTCATCACCGTTTGACCCATCCTTGACCAGCCATTGCGAGATGATATCAAGGGGGAATCTTCATACGAATTTTGATAGATTATGAGTTTTCTCCCGATCGTGCAGAGCGGAGTTATTGTGGGACCTGTATGGAGTATTGGGCAACACATATAAAATTATAATAATATGTACATTACAAATGCACATAAAGGGTTGTGCAATGAGCTATACAAGCGATTGGGCAGTGCCTTATTTACGGTCAAACGATAGCAGTGGCTTTCGCGCCTATAGAATGCTGTAGGTTATCAATATGACAGAACATGCCATTGACTATTAATATTTCAACTGTGTTAGTATTTTCTAACTATACGAATAATTGTGCCTGAAGGTATTCGGAATTGCTGCATGTTAAAACGTTTTGAAATTTTATTTGGTTCTGAAAATGGAGTGTTATTTTTCCTATTATATTTTCCTTAGTTCGATTAAATCTTAGGCTCATATACTCATTAATTTTCGAGTTATTCGGGAAAACATTGAAAAGAAAGGGTTGTACGAATAATTTCGTCGTTAACCATAAACAGAAATCACAGCTACATATGCTACAAAAGAACACAGCTATATGCTACAAAAGAAATCGCGACTCACGCACGTAGCGCTGTGCGCTTGCAACATTAATTCTCACCAGCGCATTAAAAGAGGACTTAGAATTTTTTCAAAACTTAGAATTAGAAGAAAGTCTTAATCAAGCGACTGCTACTCATAGTAAATGTCATCGAATTTATTTACAAAGTCGGAGGGATATTGAATTCTGGCAAGTCTTTCTTTAGGTGGTCAAGGTTGTGATTGTTCAAGATAAAGATCTGTGGACGGTCGTGTGGGCTTCATTTCGATGTGATTCCGACTTCTTGACAGGCTTGTAGGAGTCATTCCGAAAATCAGGTATCATCATTGATCCGTCAAAGTACTCCCAACGACTGGCGACCAAAGCCAAAATGATACCCATTTCCTGAAAGAAAATTTCATGCTTGAAATAATACACAAACACATTTAAAATTAATATTCTATGAGATTTTTAAAATCATCAGATATACTTTTACAGAAAAATATATATACATAAACTTTCAGACAGAATGCTATTGAGAGAAAGTGTTTTATCCATAAAACAAAAATGATTTTTAACAGCATCCATAAATTTGCAATGTAAATACTTGGATAAGTTTATGAGGAGAAGTCCATGTTTCAGCGATGGAAATGTATATTGATGAATATAATTTCATTAATTTTTGGTTTTTATCCACTTCTATTCGTTTATTGAGACAGACAGATATTGGGTTAAGTTGATAGACAGGCATTGATGTTGCCACGATGAGCAAATTCATTGCCTGAACCTTAAATGCTTGGAAATATCATGAGCCAGATCCAGCTAAGTATTAGAACATTTAAAAAGCAGGCATCTAAGTGTTTTAGCATCAAAAACATCTAAAAATATAGAAGAAAATTTTTTATTGGGACATGAATTTATGTGAATATATGAGGCTTGGAAAAACATTAATAACTTTTTTTATGGATTAACTAAGAAATTGAAAATAAATTTTGATTGGTATAAATTCATAATAATAATGCGAAAAATGCTGATACCTTAACAATAATATATAATATTACATATTGTTACAATGATTGTAATATACAATGCAATAATAAAAATATATAACTCAGTACTCAAAGCAGTGAGTGACAGAGAGCGCATTTTCTCGTCGACGAAAATGTTAAGTCACGGACGGACAGACAAAAATGGCAAGCACAATAGTGCATTTCTTCCAAAAATGAGAAAATGCGCTAAAATATATTTAAAAAGTGATTATCAAACGATGATCTCATAAAAGAGTTTATCATATTATAATTGATACCAGTTAAGAATTTATTTTTCTTCCTTTCTTCGCTTGCTATGCATAATTATCAACTTGAGAGATTGCAGGGCAACAAAGCAATCATTTCATTTAAGATCTGTCGAGTTTAAGTAGCTATGCATTATGGGTGACACAAGAACTAATGTTCATTCAAAATAAGTCACTGTATGATAATATTTTGTATTTTAACATCTGGAACCATAAAGCAGTGGAAGCAACAAGTTCAAATACCACATTCATTACCTGAAGTACAATTTGTAGGACTATCACAGTCACCAATGACGTCGTCGAGCTGGATAATTCCTGGAGAGAAATGAATGATTTTCAGCAAATATAAAAATGGGAAACCCATTAATTGAAAAGGCGTTAATTGCAACGTTCCTTCGAAGCTTACTGCGACGGAGGGGAAAACTGAGATTAATGAGTTCAAACATTGACATTTTGAGCGCCTGCTTCTCATTCAAAACTCCACAACATGAATTGAATTATTGTAATTAAAAGTGCTTCGTAATAACTCAAACTAAAACTAGTTCTAGTTCGCTAAGCATTTTCTTTGAAGTCTTAAAGTCCGCGTAGTTTTCCACGAAACAATTTTTGCAGGCACTCGCAGTCAAATATTATTGAGAAAGATAGTAGATTTCTGCACTATACATAACCAACATTTAATTTAGTTTGGTTTAAGTTCACATTTCGTTCGATGAATGAGTATTGATATCGTTTAATGTGGGTGAAGGCATGTATTGTTCAAGTACAATATAGAGGTAGAATCGCCAAAACTCATTAAAATAGGGGAAATTATGCATAATAATACATGTTAACATAGTGATTCAGAATATTTGTTGTTATTCTGTCACAAAAAGTTAACACTTAATTCAAATATGAAGCAATGTAAAAAATCAGAGTCTGTTCCACTATTTCTCTGACATATCTCCAGCATGTGAATCACTTCTCTCTATCAATGTAGTATCTCGAACTGGAAGTCCTTAACCCAATAAACCTATATTAAAGAACCAAAATAAGTTATAATATTGAATCTTCTTAAATTAATATTCCATCTATAATCACTGCTGCAATTCTTTTCATTTTCAAAACTGGTGATTATTTACATGAATGGCTTTCTATTCAATGAGCATAATGTTAGTCGAAGACTTGTTATGAAAGCATATTAGGCGACATGCCATATCGAGGGATTCGCTGATTCCCAGTATTTATCCCTGATGTCATCAATAAATCAAATATTTATTAATAAAGTATCAATATTCCCGATAAACGTCGATCGCTGTCGCCTGCGAAAATTTTGATTAATTCAGCTACCGCAATATATACAGGGTGTCCCAAAAAAAACGATACCCAACTTTGAATGGCTGTAACTCAAAAAGTAATAGAGTTAAAAAAATTTGAAAGGTCAGAATTTGTTCTCTATGTTTTTCTCCATCTCTCCACCAAAAATCAGACAGATCGATGTAGCCATAAGCGTTTGATAGAACTTTCAGTGACATGTGCTAAAATCGTGCTTGCGCAAAGTATCAGTAAGATCATTTTGCATAATCATTACGTTGTCTTGACATGTTTTCTTTTCATTGTTTCATTTTTTAGCGCATTTTCTCATTTATGAAAAAATGCACTATTGTGCTCGCCATGTTCGTCTGTCTGTCCGTCCTTCTGCCCGTCTATCTGTCCGTCTGTCTGTCCGTCCGTGACTTCATGTTTTCGTCGACTTGAAAAAGCGCTCTCTGTCACTCACTGCAGTGAGTACTGAGTTACATTTTTTGTATCTTTGGTGAGACAAAAACATGGCAATCTTTGGTGAGAGACAATCTTTGGTATTGAAATTCTCTCTCACCAAAGATTGCCATGATTGTCTCTCACCAAATATTGCCATGATTGTGTCTCACCAAAGATTGCCATGATTGTGTCTCACCAAAGATTGTCATGATTGCCTCTCACCAAAGATTGCCATGATTGCCTCTCAGCAAAGATTGCCATGTTTTTGTCTCACCAAAGATACAAAAAATGGAACACAGTACTCACTGCAGTGAGTGACAGAGAGCGCATTTTCTCGCCGACGAAAACATGAAGTCACGGACGGACAGACAGACGGACAGACGGACGGACGGACAGACGGACATGGCGAGCACAATAGTGCATTTTTTTTATAAATGAGAGAATGCGCTAAAAATCAAACAGCAAAAAGAAAACATGTCAAGACAACGTAATGAGTATGCAAATGATCTTACTAAAAATTTGCGCAAGCACGATTTTAGCACATGTCACTGAAAGTTCTATCAAACGATTATGGCTACATCGATCTGTCTGATTTTTGGTGGAGAGATGCAGAAAAACATAGGAAACAAATCCTGACCTTCCAAAATTTTTTACCTCTATTATTTTTCGAGTTACAGCCATTCAAAGTTGGGTATCGTTTATTTTGGGACACCCTGTATATATATTTGGTTGATCTGTTGAATATAATTAGTTCTACATATTTCTTTTCAAAGTGTGTTGATTTGAAGCCTGGAGCCGTAAAATTTATACAGGATCTGTTGACGAGTCCGTGATGCTTGTCATGATATTACCGTGAGCCGAAACTTTTTGTTTTGCACGATAATCTGCATATATTTGAGCCATTACAAAACTATAGAGGGAAGAATTAAATCAGAGATGAAAAAAATTTATTTTAGTGGTGTCCACGACCAAGTTAATTAAGAAGACGCATAACATTTTATATTTGAAAATAGGATTCAAATGGCTGTTTTATGCAAAATATAGGTTTGAACGGTTCGTTAATATGATTATATTATTTTTATTATTTTTTATGGGATTCGATCAACTATCCCCGAAATTTCTAAATTTCGGGGATAGTTGATCCCGGACCACTTCTGGCAATCCAGTCAATAGGTAATAAACTTTTTAGAATTAGAGGGTTGAAAGTGAGCGATTATGCTATAGTGATTGTGTGATTTTATCTGACTTTAGGACTTTGTTCATTCAATTTATTTCCAGTGTGCGACAACGCGCACAATAAGCATCCTAATCTTAGATGGAGATTATACTTTGTGTTCAGAAATCATTCCACGAATTTACGGATTGATGTCCAAAATACATGAGGATCTTAACTTTTAAAGTAAATTAGAAGGGGACGTATTAAAGTTAACCAACTAAATTTAGCTGCAATTTATATTATCAAGTCGCCTTCTTTTTAGATGGTTCAGAAAAAATGTGCACTTGGCGAAATACGGTGATTCTTTTGTGCAGTATTTGTCCAACAACGCAGAACTTTTATTCTTATCTCTCAATAAATTTGAAGAATCTGAAATTTAGAAAATAGATTGATATTTATAGATGTCTAAAAAGGCTATGTTTTGCCGAAAATGGATGTTAGGGAATAAAGATGGTAAGTTTGCACTGTTTCCAAAAAGTTGTCAGTGATTTCGTTCTCGCCTGCATGCGTATGCCACGCACTGAGCAGTGCGTTCGCGATAATTTCTGCTGCGCTTGTGCGTTTCGTGCTGCATGCGGACAGCAGGTGTGATTTGACTGTTTACATGCGCGAAAATTAATTTTCTGGAATATGACAACAATTTCATTTCATGAAAAATAAATTTTTTTCTACAATTCAGTCTCCATGTAAGAAAAATATATTGCTGTGATGGATATAAATGGGAAACCCTGATGACTAGGTACCGTACGTAAAAAACTATACAGTTCTTAAAAAATCACACTTATCAACAACGAGTCAGTAAAAAAATGTCTTGCACTAACCTTGGTCAAATCGATGGACCAGAGTGTTTGTGCGGCCAATAGGACGTCCTCAACTCTCCCTAGTATAGACTTCCTGCCATTGACGTAGCCAAAGTGGTAGCCGCAGAGCGCCAACTCTGCCATCGCGAGCAGGTGCAGCACCACGCTTTGCTGCTCACAGTCACCATGTATAGTGTTTAACTCGTCTCTTTTTCACATTTGTCTCATCATTTGCTCAAAAGGTTATAATCAGATTGTCCTGTTTTAGACCGAAGCGGACACGGGCATTTAAAAATCGGCTGTGATAATTTCGAAATATATATTGAACAGTTAAATAACTCCATAATTTTAATAGGTGGACATTTTTGGAAAATGAGTTTTCTGACTCATTGAATCTTGTAACTTTAAATAGTATGCTCATTCGCAAACATAACTGTTCTAGGAGCAAGATATGCATGACATATGGATATCAAATAGCCAATTACATTCTTTCTAATTTCCGATTTTAATTTATTATTTTCTAGTTGCCATTTCTACCCCTACAATATGTGCAATCTCAATCAAAAGAACACACATGGATTTCAGAAAATATTTTTAAAACTACTTTATAAATAAATGACTCGCAATTTTGATTTGTCTGCTGGAATTTCAATAAAAGTAAAACAGATGATAGCAAAATGTATGTACTAGAGAATTTTATCAAATATTAAAAAATATACGTTTTCTAGGTTCTATTTGATATGCTTTCTACAACTGCTGTCGTGTCAGGTTATTTATGAAAATTGAATAATGAAGGTTATAAATTAGTTTGACAGTTTCGAAGTTGGGTAAAATTTTCAGGAGCGTGGATATTGATTGATTAATTTGTTTATTAATTAAAAGTTTTAAATGCTCAACGTCCAGCTGGCTTCATCTCAACGCAGGAGAATCGTTGTGCACACCTTCAGGGAACACCTTCTCATTCAGTCTTCTTAAGAGCACGGTTCACAGCTTTTTTACAACTTCATTTGGGATTCCGCTTACTGATGAAATGATATACTCGGGGATAAACGTAACAGTTAACATTATTATCAAATTACTGGCTGAATTTATTGGCATGATTGCGAACGTTTTAAAATTTCTTTCCTTTGATGTTTCTTTATTGTTAATTAGTATATAGGAGGTATATATGTTACATGTATAGGAATATATATTACATGTATTCACATGATGTAAAGTATCTAACTATTAGAAAAACACTTTTTAATCATAATTAGTGATAAATTTCATATTTAAAACTCTTCTTACGGTGAGGAGCAATCCGCTGAATCTTTTTGCGATGCCGATGATGCCCAAGATTGCAGTGATTGCAGCGATGGCCAGCACACAGCCTAGGGCCAGCGGCACGTTCAGCGCACCGCTCTTGAGCTCGTCTTGCGTGAGCAGCCCTTGCTCGTGACTCTGGAACACCAGCAGTCCGATGCCGGCCAGAGATACGCTCTGTTCAATTATGAATAAGAATAATTCTCTGTTGACACGCTCTTGAATTATTCTTAAATTTTTAATGTTATTTTTTGCTGCTGCCAACAATATGATGTGTGATTTGAATAACGTATAATGCTTTACTTGTGTCATGTTTTGAACTTTAGAATATTTCAGACTTAGGAGTGTTTTTTAACCTGTCCATATTTCACATGCAAATGTTATGTACCCTTGAAACAATTTCGGGGAAAATTCGATGTCGGGTAATGGTTATCCCAATTTTTGCATTGCTGATAAAGTTAAATAAAATAAAGCATAGTTTTGTTGACAATATGGCTTGATGAGGATCTACGTAAGAGCTTCTTAAAGAATTCATATGTACGCCATGATGAAAAATCTTTCTAAGACCCCTAAATAAGCAAAAAAATATAAACTGATTCATCTTCACGAGTGTAAATACAAATCCTAGAGTGAGCGACTAATCTTCTGCTTCTAAAAAGTCATTGATGATGATACGTATTCCCATGGTAAATTCTATAGGTGATAAAGAAATAAAGTGAAATAATTTATATAACCAGACACTTTCTCCTTTACATCCGTTTCCACAGACTAAATGCTAAAAATATCATCTTACACGTAAATATATATTATTAACTTATAGATAGTGGAATGTTCAGTATTTATTCAGTTTCACAAATTGCAATAGTTAGAGAAAAGTCCAATTTCCCTCTATTCTTGATGAGTCCTAATAAACTTAAGTTATGCAATGGCGCAAAAAATTAAATCCACACTCAATAAAAGTTATTTTCGATTTAACTTGTGTAACTAAATTTTTAATCTTTTCGAAGTATTTCCTTTGCTAGAAACCGTTAATTTTAAAATACATTTTTGCATTATACAATTCATAAATCTGATTGCAAATTAATTACAAAAAAATTCAATATGAATTATTGAATTTAAAAAATTGAACTCTCCTGAAGTTAGCAAATAATTTTGAATTTAATTGTCAGAATTGCATCTAATTATTATGCTATTAGTTGTAAAATTAATTAAAAATAATATTTAAATTCATTTAAAAATTCATTTCATTAATATTATTTTTATAATTTATTGCTCTTCATACAAGATTTTCATAACATACATGATCGTTCTCGGATGATCGAAAACACGTGAACAAAGAGCTTGTCTCTCAGGCATTAATATATCGATCTTTATTATTAGCATCGCCCTCTAACAATAGACGCCACGTGCATCATATAATTTACATATGATGCACGGTTACGTTGTCTTCACTTGCAGACAAGGTTCACTATTCGGCAGTTAAACAACGGCAAGTTTGAAGTATACTTACACATAATAAAAAGTTCACCACAATCACAAGTACTCGTTTGCAGTCACACATTATACATTCATGTGGTGGCCAACTCTACAGAAGTGATACAACCCACCAGCCCAGGTCTTCATCACACACTAGAAGACAATGGTGATAGCTATGAGATCAATATGCGTTCTTATCGCAAGTTGCACTATCAGAGCCAAGTGAAGTCAACTGTTATGCATGGAAAAGTTGTCTTATCTACGTTATCTCCATGTTCCTGTAATTGAATGATCGAGTAGTGAATGGAAGAAATAAGACAGTCATGCTTCTAAATTCAAGATGTGATGCTAAATTCTGACAAGCTGCTATAAGGACAAAATACGGAAATTTCGAATAATAAATCTCAGGCCTCGGGAAGCTTCTAGATCGTATCATAGTTTTGCTTCCATCGCTGCACCAATCACAAAATTCCACAGGAACCAATGAAAGGCCATATATGTTACTAAAATGTTGAATTGACTAATTGACTAGCTATTATTAACCTTAAATAATCGGTTAAATAAATTAGCGTAATTAAGTAACGCTGAAGCATCTTACTGTTTCAGTGGTGCTGCCGGCAGATCCCAATTTCTTTAATTGCCTCTAAGAGCGTCTAAGTTCATTTTAAATTAACTATTAAAAACTTGATGGGATCTCACGCGAAGTTTCGCTGCTTTTCTTTGAACTTGAGCGCTGAGAAAGTTTGCTAATCCGAAACTTCTGGGGTTCTTTCGTGCTCAGAATGGAATTTAGAATTGTATGCTATCGCCGGCATTGAGTTAGAATCTTTTCGTTTCTCCACAACACTCCATACAGAGGAACTTAACAAAGCGATGCCAATCTTACTATCCTTTGGTGAAACGAAGATTGAAACGCTTTAATCTGGTTTTCCTCCAATGAAATGAAGCGCAGAAATTGCGATGCCGATGACTTCTCTTAAATTTTATAAGTCTGGAGAATATCTATCGTATCAATCAATGACATGCAAGTTAATTTCCTCAGAAAAGTTGTTATGGAGATCCGATGTTATGGATTCGATGCCCACGCTGTTACAGTTTCTATTTTATTTTCAAGGCTCTTTCTCTTCCGACCCAATGAGAGGCAACCTCGACACTCATTTGTTGCACTGCGCGACTCGACTGTTTTCTCTACATTTGACTTCCGTGAATTTGGAGCCCACATATTCTGTCAATATATAGTTCATTTTCTGCACCTCATTTTTCGTATGATTAACAACTTTGTTTAGGGAGAGTAAGCTATGTTAATTTTTATTGTAGCCCGCCAATTGCCTGTATATGGTGCATTGAAATTTGAACATAGTGGGGAATTATTGACTATCTAATGTTTTGTAGCTGCCTAATTAATCTAAAATTCCTTCAATTGCTGGATAATGTAATCAATTATAACTTTCAGGTGTAAGGAGCTTAACTCAATTATTAATGATCTGCAAAATTCCCTGCCAGTATCCACACAGGTTCTTAATGAATACCGTTAAACCTTCTGGGTTCCACGAGCTGGCAGCGAAGCCGGATGACCGTGACAATATTACTTGAGCCCACTTTATCCACATGAGCTAGGCTTTGTGCTGCGGCTCTCACGTAACAATGAATCAAAAATTGAAATGCATAAAATATGATGCCCATGTGCGTCCAAGGAAAGCGCAATCCGCTTGTCCAAGAGTGCACGGTCAAAAATCCAGACTATACGGCCAGAAAATTTATGTTCGATAATTTCTGGACTAATGGACATTGCGACTGCGAAATGACCACATTTGATAGCGTCAAACGGCAGGATGCCATCAAGACGCCCTCAAACCGTGAGATGCCTCATCACCCAAGTGCCTAAATGCAAGACAGGGATGTGGAGCACCACACGGCAGAGGACGACCGAAACCGAGGCCACTAGCGCTGCACGACGTACATTTACCAAACATTATCGGATACTCATTGCTGATATGTATTATTATGTATTATTATATACGCGAATGTATAATTATGTACTGTATTACGTGCACGAACTCGGCAATAAATCTCACACAATAGGTAAAAGTGAAGACTTCTCTTAAATTTTATTAGTCTGGAGAATATGTTCAGTATTATTGAATAATCGAACTTGGTTTTGGTCAGACCTGAGTATGATGCAGACGTAATAAGTAATGGCATCTCCATGCAAGGTTTTTAATTATTATCAACTCAATAATGAATCGATGTATAAAGATATTCGCCAATTGGTAACTGCCTCCGAAATTGTAAAACGTGCTGGAAAGCTAAAAAAAATGCAGCAAGGGGCTCGATTAGAGATAACAGTTGGAAATACTTTATTTTTTATTTGTTTACGGCCTCTCGCAATCGGTCTTTTTGCAGCCACAAATTCTCGTGCACAACTCGTCGGTAGCACTCAACACAAGAGAACGAAAAGTCGACTTTATGTCGATGCATCGCCCGCTCTGTGCTCATCCTCGCTTCTATAAATCACGCGGCGCGGTATTCCTGTGCGCCGGAGCGGTGCCAAAATGCGATTTGTTGAACTCGGAGAGGCGCTCGAGAGTTTAATTGATTGCAAATCAGATAAGAATTGCACAATATTGTTCTGTGCGTGCATTTACAACTGCAGCAATGGATGGCTGAAAATTTTGAAGTGTTGGTGTACCCGAGTATGTAGCCATGCAGACTTTGTTTTCAATCGGAAGCTTCATCATCTGCATTATTGATTAATGAGAGGACAGGTATTGCATCCCAACCTTTTAACATCACTCCTACAATCTTGATGTTTTTTGAACGAACGAAATTTTTTCATGCAGTGGTCAAATTTTTTACGAGGTCAAAATTTCTGAAGAATATTTTATAAAATGACATTCAAATTCATGTTCAGGGGTGGAAACTCGTAAGCTGGAGTGGGTTGACGCGCTAGGGTCCTGCAGTATTAATAAATTTGAGTGTTTGTAGCAGTATAACGCTTGTAACTTGTTTGTTCAGAATAATTAGTGTTTCCCCCTTTTATGCCTGCCTTCTACGAGTGATGGTACGCAAATAGGATACTTCTCTTATTTTTTCATCAGACTCCAAAGAGTGAAATACAGGAAGCATGGCATATCTAACCCACGGACTCCATTTTACGAGTATCATTACGAATATCAAATAATTAATATTTTGTAACTATACCGAAGATATTCCCCTTGCCATTACGACTATACGTAATTCAGTCCTAGTTTAACTTCTGTTATAATTCAAATGAAAAACTAAGTTTTTTAATAAGGCAACTAACTAGTATTCCTTAAAGGGATAATTCAGGTGAGCTTGACTACATTCAATATTGACTACATTCGAGCTTGACTACATTCGACTACATTCAATATTCGTCGAATCTGAAGCTCCCGATCGGGTCTTCGAGACATTCAGAACGTCTGCGAAAAAAATTAAAGTAAAACAATCGCAAACCACGTATTTAAAATACAGCTAAGTTTAACCCCCACACAAAATTCAAATGAATTTCTTTAGGTTTGATTTCCTCACGCAAATTTACTTCAATAAATTGAGAGAAACCTCAATTTTCATTGTCTTCTTCATTTGTTATAGTCTTGTGTCTTTGAAGCCTGGTACCGCATAAAAATATTTATTATAGAAATCGTAGCTAAGATACATCGTTGGAATATTACCTGGGCCTGAAATTTATTACTCGTGAGAAGATTGTGTGGCATTGCAAACCTGAGGGAAAGGGTTGGATTAAAAATAAAGTTTTTTTTTAAATTTGTCCTTATGAATTTCCTCTGAAGGAGGTTTTTTCGTATTTTGGAATAAGAGTCGAAAGAGATTTCTATGTTATAATATGAATGTGTGTTCAAAAGGGTCTTTCTTCAATTAACATACATTAATTAGCTCTATTATATTGGTGATTTGGAATGACGAGAGCTTAAAATTGTTCCAATATCGAGCCCGAGCTACGCCGAGCTAACCTGCAAGTAATAATATTAATAAAGTCTTTATTTGAACTTAGACTTGTTGCCTCATGTCACTTCAACCCTGCGTTTACAGTATGGGTTCCCAACCTGGTTGCACGCACACCACTTGTCAATTCCAGATTTTACGCCAACACTTACGGGGGCCATGAAATGATTCTATTCAGTATTTATTTCACAAAAATATTTACGACCTGATAATCTGGTAACGATATTCAACTAGTCTAACACCTCGTGGTTCCTGGTGCTAGTAGCTCGATTTGAACATTACACATATTCATTTATTAGCAGATTATTTAAGATGAGAGGTAACCATTAAATGGAGGATGATATTTATGGATGGCGGTGGTACCAAGTCGAACGAGGCCACTTTAGCGGACTTGCTGCAAAAGTAAAACTTTATCTCAAAAAGATTGAAAAGTATTTATTATGATATCGTCGTTTTATGATATTTGATTTCTTCCCTCAAATTTCATTCATTTCCTTTTGGTCCTAAAATGTTATGTATTGTTTTACCAAATAATCCATGAAGGATAAAATGTAGTTTCAGTTACGAAATGAATATGATTGATTGTTAAATTATATAATAGTTAGCAACAAAATTAATTGAAAATCCGACATAAGGATAGATAACAATTTTTCTCCATCCCATTCAATTTCCTTGGAGGCTTTGTTTTGTATTGATAATAAAAAATTTCGCGTGTCTTCGCAGTTTCATTATTATCGTCTGTTTTTTTTCAGGAAATTGCTTGTTAGAAACAGAAGCATTGCTTTTTGTTTTGTAATAAAAACAATGTACATCATGCAAAATTCCTTTAATTTGTAATCTGCGTGAAGGTATCTTCAACGTTAATCGATATTTAGAAGCGTGTGAAGTCACAGCACATTTTGAATTTTATTATAACCATCTGAACATCGAAATGCATGATTGTTCATCATCGTAATAAACTGCGTTCATTTAAACGCCAGTGAACAGCGAAGCAAGTCTCAGTTGTTATTGTTATATTATTTCAATATAGGTTTAAAATATTATAAGGAATTTATTTCAGAGACCCTAAAGTGGGAAAATTCAAACAGTATAGCGTAATTTACGTTCGTTCTTCCACAGTCTTCCGTCTCCAATTGCACGAATTACGGGAGGCGCCATCGTCGATGACGGTTCTAACCAGGAATGTTGCTGCCAGGTTATGTGAAATCCAGAAAGATAATTTGGTAGAAACAACAAAAACCTCTGTACTCTTTGACTGGACTGGAATCGAGCGTGCGATATCATATTATTAGGTTAAGAGTTGTTAATATTTAATTTCTTGTCATTGAAAAATACTGGCCTTGATAAGAGAATATTATTTGAAATTTATTGTCAAACTAGTTCAATGGTGCCGTACGCAGAGTGAATTCGGATAAGGTAACCCGAATTGTGATGCATCAAAAAAATCTCAAGGATCTGGAGTTGAAATTAACAAAAAATGATTGCCATACTTTTAAAAGCTAAATTCAAAAGCTGCTGGTTATTGCCTAAACTTGTTGCCTCGGGCACAAAATTACTACTTATAAAATTGGGCACAAAAATAAGCTCGAAAGGAGCTAGGTAGGAATTCAAATTTTTAGGGAAATCAGATCCTCAAATGCTTGTTGCTAAAAGCTAAGCCTTAGACTGTAAATTTTGTGCGTCCATCTCAATTAATGTAAAACGCAGACCAAGGTTTGTAGCTCCTCTCCACTATCGATCCAATGCAGTTGGCAATCATGGACCAAATTGATGGGTCCGAACAGAGGGGTCCCGGGCAGCGATGCTCCTATATGAAAGCTCCGCCGCATGGCAGGCAACAGCTGTCTGCCGCTCCTTCGAATCTCATGCGTTCTCTCTATTCAATTATCAGAATCTGACCAGGTTGTTTCCCGGTCCGGTAACCACGAATAGGGAAAGCGCCGGTGAAAAATTCTATTCAATGAGATGAGTTCGCACGAGACAGCATAACGCCCACTCGTCGTTCTCTGTTGCACCTGGCACCCTAAAATTCGAAAACATCACTGGAATGTATATAGTAAAATTCTGAATTTTACTTGATTGTGCTGTAGCAGTCGAGTGTTTTTAAACAACGCATTGTGTTCTAAAGCGCATCTTGATGCCAACATCGTGGTTTGCGTTGACTGCTCGTGCTGACAATAATTATTTCTCTATAACACAGCAACTTCATTTCTTATACTTTATGCCTAAAAATGTTTGAAAATACTGACTGTTGGCTAAGCGGGTTTGAAGTTCGGCACCTGCCCCTTCAACAAATGTCGGATGTTGATCGCGTGTCTTTGCTTGACCTGCCGTGCTGCGACCCAAAGTGTTGAAGTAAAAATGTACTAAGTAAAATTTTTTATGTGCTTGGCTAGTTCTTATTATGTAGATATATGACTTCGATAAATTCTTCTGATAATTTCAATTTTTATCTGTTTACATAATTATTACTTATGCCTTTTTTTCAACTTAGCAACAATAGCCCAAAAATGGTTACGCCTCATAGACCAGTGACGATGAGCATGTCATGGGCCGCTCTACGCTACAAACGATTAATTTGTTGCAAGCTGTCCCACAACAGTGCATCAGGAATATTATTATTTCAAATAATTTCCGAAGCTATGCCTGTACTTGAAATCTTAAAAATTTCATCCTAGCATTCATTAATTCACTTTCAACTCGCTCTGACTGTAATTCTTTTCTGATTTTAGGAGCTGACATGAAGGACGAGTCTACTCTGCCCTGCATCAGGATTAAGTGAGTAGCATGGAAAAGGGAATTAAATAATTATAGTACCATTTATATTTACAAGTTCGAGATAACAAAACATATGGGGAAAAAACGTTTTCTCCTTTCTAAACCAGCATATTCGCGCGTAAGCGTGACCGGTGGCATAGGGAGCACATTCTAGGCGTGCAACCATCACGATCCGCTTGGGCTGCGTTCAAATGCAGCCGAGCGTCTCCACAAAGACTGATGCCTGGACGTATTGCCCGTAGACTGATGATCCGCGAAGTCTGTTAACAGTTGTTAAAATGTTGCGTATTTTGCTGTTCGTTTTCACTCCTGCTCAAGCGGCTAATGGTGGTTCAAATCTCAAACTTGAATATACTAGTGCGAGAAACCACATAACTGCAGCACCCAAAAGGAATTACTACAGCACACGTAACTCGGTTGCGACGAGTTTACTATAGCAGCGAGTTTGCTAAACCGTCTCTGGTTTGAGCTCAAACTGTACCCTGGTCAATAGAAAAATTAAATAAATGATGTTGAACATCTGCGTTACTCTCGGCCGTGTTTTTCTGTGGAAGTTTCTTCTACATACCTCTGGGTTAAGTTTCAACAAATAATTGCACTAATTCCATGCAGAATGGAAGTTCTAAACGATACTCTCGGTAGCATAATAGCAAAGGGATTAGGATATGAAGCTAAGATGCCTTGAATAATGCGAAGAAGAAATCATGCATTATCATCAGGAGTTATATGGGCTTGTCTCTCAACTAGTCAGATATGGACAAAAGGCACACGTAAAAGGCAAACGAATAATAATAATAATGAATTGATTCATGGGGATTTCAGTGACTCAAATCACGGCGAAGAAATTCAAATCACGGCAAATATATTCGAATTTATTTAAAAAAATTCTTGCCAATTGTTCGATCTCGACTATACATTTCAAGAAAATTATTTGATTTATACAATAGGGAAGGAAATAATAAAGTTTGATGGTCAATAGTTTACTGATTTATGATATTTAATTTTGAATTTATCGGAGGGTTGCCGAAGTCTTCTTTTTATGAACAAGTTTCATTGAAGACGCCGCTTGTGTGGCATCATCTACAGGACATGCAGGTGGCTTGAACAATGTGCAGATTTTTGCTTTGATTGATGGACTATCCTCGTTTAAATTTTTTTCTTAGATTGATCGACATGAACAAACAATAGATGAAATGTTTCAGATTATATGATTGAACTCCTGATACGAGGCAGATTAAGAGCGAAATCAAATAAGAAATTTTATAAGTTCATATGTGAACCAAACAGAAAGTTTTCAATTGAAAGTAGCCGGACCATGAAAACAATTATTCTTAATTCCTAAGCTTACCGGAATATTCATACAATATATTGTCAATAGAGCTGGAACGCGTTCTTCTGTGGACACAAGGACGACTGCTAAAATGAATGACGTGTGAGAAAATTTATATCTAATATCTGAACACGAAATTTTTTGACAGTGTAAAATACGTATGTTTATGTGATTTGTATAATAAATATAGACCGAACCGTTTGATGTAAAAAAACAGATTCCTCGCCTTAACTTGAATTTTTGGCTTGTCCTCACAGTATTGTTCTAAACGATGCAATTTCAATAGTTTTAATTGCTGAATTTCACGACATTTTTTCCAACTGCGCGTTTAATCGGGAATTTTGACATTTTCCCGCACCTTTACGAATGTTTTTAAAATAATTATTTACCTGTTTTCTACGGCCAATTATTGAACCCTCGACTCACTAACCTACGCATTTCGCTTATAAATCCCTTCGCTGGTCTAAAATCCCTGACAAATTTCTTACACATGACTTTCAAGTACTCAAGTTATGTTCACTGTATACATGTAATTTTATCGTGTGTTGTAAAGATAAGATATAAAGTTTCATTATTTTGGGCTGCAAGATGGCTGCGGTTCAAGCTTTTCGTCAAAAGTCAAGTGAGCATTAGAAAGCGATATAATTCTTTTAACTGCCTCTATGCTGCCAGTGACAATTATATTTATGTTCGAACAGTTTGTAAGGCGCAAAAAATGAACTCCAAAAGTTTCTTCTAACCATTTAATTATGTAATCTCGGTGGCAATCCACAAATGTCATGTAACTAAGAAAAGTTAAATGATTTATTCTTCAATAAAAGATTACTTCATGTTCGGCTCGCGTGCTTTAAATTTGTCCTGATTCTAGATAATTAATCTCCTTCTAAGACTGTAAACAACCTGGCCTCACCGCTACGGGAGAAGATATTCTACGTATAAAATTAATCTTTTAGAATATTAGAAGTATGAAACTAATAATATGTCGAATAATAATACTCCATATATGGATATTCAGAGTTTGAAAATTAGGAGTATAAGTTCTACGAGCAATAAGCAAATACCGATGTGTCTCATTTGCGAGAAACTATTCCCATGGAGCGATGAAGCTATTAAAGCATTCTGCGCATTTTCAGGAGACGGAATATCGACGATGAAATGAGCAGCTAAGAAAAATTCATAATGAGAAAAATTCTGCAACAAAAGCCCCAGCGTAACCCTGGCGGACAAAAATTTGAAATTCAATGTTACTCGTTAGAAAAGCCTCGCGTAAGACGAGAGTAAATAATAAGGTCTGTTATGGAGGAATGATTGTATCTACCGTATATAGTTCATCACTTATAACTTCAACTGCTCAATTTTCAGTATATTTTTTTCCATTTATTATACTGTATGAAGGAATGAAATGATCGAAGTTGAAGAAATATCAAGTGATACAATTGAACACGAAATTTATGATTGCTAATTGATGGATGCATTCAAGCCAGCATGTTTGCCGTTTTATGTGAAAATTTTCTCGCACATAGTTTGCATAGCGACGATTTTTAGATAGTAAATTACACTTTTGTTGCGGAGCTAAAGCAAAAGAAAATTGTTGAGTTGCATCTACCACTAATCCTTCCTATTGAAAATTTCCCAATAAATATGTTCTTCAAATGATTTATGCTACACTGCACTGCATACGAGATCCACATAACAATTCTCGCGTTTCTCCTTCCAAATTTGACCTTGCAGGCCCTAAACTGACTCTTTTGGGAGAGTCGGCATAGAGGCAGATTTATCAAACTTTACTAGAATCTTTGTTCAATTCAAAACATTATTTGTTTAACTAAGGATAAATTGGATGAAAGTTTGGTATTAAGAAAAGCTAGTGTCCAAGGGAGAATTGACACAATGAAGGTTAAGAAACAATACCGTAGACTATTCAAATATCAATCAATTTAGACGATCTAACACTCAAGAAGGAGTTTTGTTACTTAACAACGTTGTTATTGTGGAAGCGTATATTAAGACGGTTTTTAAAACTTGCATCCTAGGTACGCATTCATCAATTTTGCAATTCGCAATTTTATGGGCAAGTTTAGATTCATGCAACACCGTCAACTTGAGCCGCTAATTTACATACTAGGCGAACCTGCACGTGAGCCAGAAGCTGCCGGGCGCGCGAATAGTGAGAGGGTAATAGTGATAGGGTAATAGTGATAGGGTAATAGTGATAGAGTAATAGTGATAGTGTATTCATATTCCCATCCAAAATTTGCCAAGACATTTGTTATATATTAACGAAACTAATAAGATGATATCGAGTCATAATCTAAATCATATTTTCAACCAAACCGATTGATATTTTTATAGATTGTTTTAAAGTAGAAGCAAGTGTTTCCATTGTTCGAATATTTTTTGAAGCTCGAAATCAATATCTATTACTCTAAATTCTAAAACATATGCTGAAAAGTTGCGGCAGAGATGAGAATTGGAACATTCAAGCATCTACATTTTGATGTAAAATCGAGCGTAAATATTGCTTTCTTAGATAGCCAATTCGATATAAATTATCAGCTGAATACCTTCACTCAACAACCTATCTTATATTTTAAAACATGCTAAAAAATTGTAGCAACTCATTGAGGACTGATGTTCATGAAACCTTAAGACAAATAATATTTTCTCGCTTCAACGTTTTAAAGCTCCAATCAATTTAAAAATTTTCGTGAAACCTTCAATATTATTCTTCTTTTGCACGTATAAAATAATCACTCTCGATTTGATAATCTTTCAAACTGGGGGGAACATTTTGCCCTGAAATTGCGTTATTCTTTATTTTTTAATCCTACATTCATTTTACTTGTACATAAAGAGTGCGACAAAAAAATTTGTCGTGCCACTTGAGATGTTTCTAGTTGAGAGTTTGCTCGACAGGCCTGGGGGAGCGTGCCTGGAGGGCCTGCTGCCAGCGGTGTACGAGGCGACCCTGGTGCACTCCAACACCCACGGCAGACACGCACTGCACACTGTCGCTGACCAGACGACGTCTGCCATCATTTACGTCGCCGTGAGTCTGGCAACGCCACGGTCTGGGAGTTGTAAAATTTGAGAAAATCGATCGTGGGTGCACTCATTTTTTTTAATAGCATGTCATAGTTTGGCAGCTTGCTTTAATTAGAAGAATTAGATAGAATTATTAGATAGAATTTATTATTCGATTTATTTATTATTTAGATAGAATTTATGTTCATCTTTTATCATTATTTATCGTTAAAACAACTTTTATCTTCAAAACCTTTACCAGTAGTTGACTCAGTCACTCTGCATCTCATTTTCGTTAAGTCGGACAAAGTGCTTCTGATATGTTACTGTAGGAAGGTTGTGAAATGAATAAGATGCTATTTTAGGTGATAATTAAGACCGAATTTTGATAGGTTTTTTTCGCACATGAAACACATTTTTTGCCTATTTTGCTGTTGATTATTTTATTTAACGCAAATTAAGGCAGAGAAATGTTTCCGATTTGATTTAGTGTGTTAGACCAATGGCCAACCTATCACAACTTTCTATCCGTTTTCTGGTATACTGAGTAAATATACATAGTTGGAAAAAATGTTTGGTAACAGATTGATCATTAAGTAACTTGTGAAAGTGAGTCAAAATAATATTTTTGAGCTTCAAGTCGGCTGTCTATTCAACTATTCTGTCAATTAATTATTTCAAGTCGGTTTTCCTGTAAGGCGTCTGGTGGAGGTGTAATTCTGAGGGCTATTCGTCGGGGCTTCAATAAACCACATATCTCGCCATCATTTTCTTCAAACGTCATAAATATTATTGTTAACTTTCCGACTCGTTGATCACCATTTTTAATATATAATGACAATAAGGTATCAACGAGTTGGAAGGTTAACAAGAATATTATTGACGTTTACAAGAAATAATCTCGCGAGATATAAATTATTGAAAGCGCTAATTATTAACACCAGGTTTCCAACTACCGTTTTGTTCACGTCGAATATTTTTCTATATCTCAAGGAATGATTGGAGCCTGTTATCATGATCAGTTGCAATGTTGGTTGTTCAAGAAATAAAATTATGGGTTTTTCTGTGATGATTGAAATTTTTGGATTGAGAGTTCAGTATCCCTTGATTCAAATCTAATTTCTAAATTTTTTATTCATTCAAAGGAACATACTCGGCGTCGCGCAGAATGTGATAATTCATTAACTTTAAATTTGTTACGGATGTTGGGGATTTTCCAGGCCAAATAATGATCCCTTGCATTTCCTCGAAAGAAACACATAAGCGTCCGTCACCAACACTTAACCGAACCAAAGATTTTTTCAATGAGTAAGCAATTTAAAGTAAACATGATTAGAGAAGTATAAATAGATATACAAAACAACGAACCTAATACCCTACAACTCTGAGAATGCCCTAACACTCCAACAGGCCTGACCGTGTTCAACATTTGATAAATAATCCACTTTCCGACTTGTCCATAAGTTAAAAGTCCAAATATTGAGCGATCGAACACTTCAGACCTTTAGGACTTTCTGAAGAGATCAAAATAACGTTCCTGAGATACTTTGCAAAAAATGAATGTATTAGTAATAAACAAAATTAAATTTACCGAAAATAATCAATGTAATACAACACGATTCACTCTAAAACTTAACAATCGCCAATAATCACAAATCTTCCTAGGAACACATCTACACGGCAAGATCATCCGATACAATGATAATTAAAACGCACTACTGTTGGAGGTGACATCAAATAAGTGATCAAAAATTAAAAGTGACAAAAACAATCGTAAAACTTCATACATTACAGCATGGGAATTATATTTAGTTATAAATTAAATCTATTTCCTCTACACGGACATTGGGATTCAAGTTAACAACGATGCTGGAGGGACATTCCCTCGAAATGATATAATAATGGCCTATGAAATGATGCAATAAAGACCATTGAAATAATACAATAATGACCCTCGCGCAATGTCCTTCGTATGAAACAATTAACCTCCCATTGGGCGTTATTGTAAAGGCTGGTCTCGCAATTATTATCAATTGTCTTTATTAATATCCGTTACCATTAAAAGAGCCACACAAAATGAGACGCTTCGTCTCGAGTTTCAGGCCTTACATGTATAACGCTCGTAGTTACGGCTGTGGGGAATGAGGTTTACAATCTGAATGAACGGCGTTGATTCGCTACTTCTAGAACTCTCTATTTATTTTAATTCTAATTGTTCACATGCAGGCAGCGTTAAATTTTCTAAGGTTGGCATTGTACCTATAATTTAATTTGGGTGCCGAATAAAACATGTATTTCATTCCTCTTGAAAGATTCTAACTTGTAAATGGTTTCTTATTGATAGATCGTGGTCATATTCTACGTGCTGATTATTGCAATCTTGGTTGGCACGACACTACGCCGACGCTCGCTGCTGGCCGAGGACATGGAGGAGAGCACACACCTGCTCTTGTACGACCAGAAAACTGACACTGTCAGGCCTACAGCTGCTGTTCCCGCCTCCAGACTACTCGAGTCTGGCCTCGTTACAGTCTAATTTTTAGAGTTACTCAAAGAAGTAATACTTCGAGATACAGATATACACGGCACGAAAATTACTAATTCTGCTTGGTACTGTTATTTGAATTAATTTTCAGAGCAGTATCGGTATAAATTGGATCGTTTTCGTGGCCAGGATGTATAATGAATTCAGTTAATTCATTCCTGGCAATGCCTGATACAATCAAAGATGAGTATTGATCGGGATGAAGTTTATGGAAGCGTTACAATCCCTGAAGTTATTGCGGTCAACATTACAGCGGTAACTGCTGTATATAAAGAGGCAATTACCAGCTATCGTAATTAGCTAATTTCTGAAGAATTACCTTACCTTCGAAAATGCATTGCCATGTTTTTGGTTGATTTCTAAAATTTGTGAACTCGAGAGGGGTTATAAACGTTTCATCGAGAGATTAAATTATTTTAATAGTGGCATAAAATAACGGGTTGACGCTGGGAAATATTTTATTCTCAATCTTATACATTTCAAATTTGGTCCTCAAATCGCATGATGAAACTATTTTGACCAATATACGTTTATTTTTTACACTGGTTCTTCACGTTTCGAGTATTAATTGTAATAATCATTCCGAGATGTCTCTGATGCTCGTGTAATCGATTTGTTACTGTCGTTCATATTACAATGCTCGTATTGTAGATGAAAACATATACTAAAAATGAGAATGCAATGTTGTAACTCATTTTATTGTGTTGAACAATAACGTACGATATTTTACTGGTAGATTGGAAATCCTGACAACCCAATTATTTGTAGAAAAGAATATAGGGTCAATTGTGATTTTTATCAATGATTGTGTGGCATTCCAATTTAGGTACCTCGTGAAAGTAACAATGTGCTCCTGTCAAATTAATCAATGACTTTTGTGATTATATAATTAATTTTATAATTAATATTTTCATAATAGATCAAAATATCGTAAAAGGTTCACATATCACATGTTGGAACCAAAGTTTTTTGTATTATGGTAAAAATTTTTGATCACCTCGCATTTAATATTGCGTATATCTTCGCATATAACGCCGTATCCTTGCATTTATTATGGCGTCATGGTCGCATGAGTACATCAAGGTTAAATTTCGTTAAAGCATTCGTGTTCCAGTTATTTAGAAATCCATTTGCTTTGAGATCTAATAGTTTCGCATACTAATTTAATTGTTACCCCTTTACCATGTTATAAGGCCAAATCTTTGATACGATAATGTGAGCAAAATACGTGTTTTAAGGAAGCAGAAGTTCTTTCTGAAAATTCTCAACCCTGGTTTGGAATACTAAGCTTGATTCTCATTTATCTTAGCTCAAGGACTCGTGTAATGAGATTGTACGTGTTAAGGTTTTCCAGATAAAAAGTTAAATGAGCAATAGTGCAGTCAATCAAGTAATGCAAAAAAGATCCTTCAGTATACGTATTTGCTACTTCGTATTCTATTACCTGACATTTAGCGGCGCTCAGAACATACCTCAATAATTATTGGTTCCGATGTACTACGAAAGAGTTATCTGTTCCCTTACTTGGTGCACACGTAATGCAAAATAAATAATAAAATTCATATCAAGCAACTCAACGTTCAGTTTAACGATGAGTATTCAATCGCCGCGTATAAATTAAAAATGTTGTATCCATCACGATGGTGGACTAGAATTTGCGGCTTTTTATCTTATGACGTAGTCGCCATTATTTGTTTCTTCCTGGTCTTTTTAAAATAAATTGTAACCATCCGATTAATTGAACGGAAAGGTGTAATACGTTAATGATTATCAAAATACTCACATTATCTTATCAGTCAAAAATAAATAACAAATTTTTTATTTATATATTGCTTCAAAAACGTCAACAAGAAATATTTGAGCGAAGTGATAAGACATCTTGCTATTCATTTATTCATTATTCGTTGCTTGAATGACATGCATTGCACTATAATCGTGACCACCGACAACAAAACATGACAATATAATTCATCGTCGGGAGAAACACCGCTGCGTAAACTAGAACTTACGCTGGATATTTTACACCCACAAGTTTATTGATTTAGTAATTTTAGTTGATCAAAACGCAACCCTTCTTAACCACACATACACATGTATTCCAGACACACTTGTAATACCAACTAAACAAACTCAACTTCTGTGTTTCATCATCACACGCGAATATAATAAGTCCATGCCTAATATCTGTATTTAATAACTGCTAAAGTTAATAAACACAAGCTTTTTTCTAAACTTTAATTATTTATTTATTTATTGACTATTGGCACTGAACTACTGTAGGTGACAAAACCAGAAGTGAACAAGTTTTCAACTAGAAACTGATCGACATTAAAAAGTTCTTATTTTTCTGTTGATTCGATCGATAGAAAAAAAACGAAAGGGCTTTTTCGTATCATTCGTAATAGTTAATAATTCAGTTATGTCTTGTATAAACTTACCATTCACATTGATTAAAAATCGTTAATATCTAGAGTGGAACATCGCCATTATGGATATCTAGTATTCAAGTAGAATTAATAAACATTAATATTGTAATTATCATTTTCATGAGATATTCACTAAAAAATGAGATTTGGTGGTTTGATATAGGAGAGGCACGTGTTTGTTTGCAAATAGTCTATTTTGCCTTAACTTTTATGAACTTTAATTGTTGTCGATAAAGTGTACTAAAATATTTAACTATTCCCTGTTCATGGCGTTTAGAGAGTAAAAAAATCATTCGCCCAAATGTCGGAAGTCATTTAAACAAAAATGTGATCTTTTAACGATGTGTCCCTTGAGATTTTTGTAGCGAAGCATCCTTTTCAGATTAAGTCTTATAAGTGTATGCGAAACACGCCTCACTATACATTTTTGCTTTGATTTAAAAAAGAAGTAATAATTAGTGTTCTAAATATGTAATCTTTAATTTAGAATGTATGCTCGACATATCAATGTTGTACTTCTTCTATGTATATCATATCACATAAAAGCCATATTTTGAAATAACCATTGGAGCAAGTAAGCTGATAATAAAGATGATTTAAAAATTGCTTAGATTTTATTGACTCCTCATCCATGTCAAATACAAAACAGATTCAAGAAAATCACGGATTCTTACTTACGTGGTGATGCCATTATGAGAATATTGAATATTTATGAGGTCTGTATTGAAGTCCTATGTCAATGCCACGTATCACGGAATTAATACTACTTCCGTAAGGACAGTTTTAATGGAACTTGCAATAATTAATAAACTGCAAATGACATTTGATTGCTAAGAGACCAATCATGCATATGCGACGAATTAATTTGGCTTTCAAGAATTTCCAGAATTTTTTTCGTCACCATTATATCTGTTTACAAAATATCGTCCATACATATGAGCAAATTTTAAAAATGTATACTCATGATAATAATTGCTGAAAGAAAAGGTTATATATTTCGAAAAGTTTCTTATTGTATTATAAATAAAACTGTTCGAAGCTCAAATTTATTGCCTCCTCATTATTTTGCCCAAAAGTTTCGTAAAGCAGTTTAGCAAAACGATAAGGAAAAACCACTGCAGTTTAGTCCATATTTAAAACACATTTATGCATTACCAGTCTTCTTCCAGTTTTTTACGCAATAGGCTTGCAGCAGTGTCAAGCCATGCTCATCGGCTAATTACCCTATAATCCATTTAGAAGCCAGAAGTTATTATTTTCATACTCAAATATATAAAACGATCTTTAGTACATCCAGGTTTCATGGAGTAATACATGCAGCAATGGGAGAAGGTTTATTTTATAGTAAGCCACATGACCTGGTATATAGATTACCCTACACCGTAACTCGTGGAGCAGCAGACCGACGCCTCGCTAACTCGACCGCCTGTCTCCTCCCACCGCGGGTGCAGTTCACATGAGGGCACTAGAGGGACCTGAGTCCGTACCGGTGTCGGGATTACGACAAAAATGTCAATTTTCCGGCATTTGCCCACCTGAGAAGAACTTTTAGCGAAATGATGTTCAAAAGAAGCTTGCGCTCAAGTTTCGATGTATTTATAATAAAAGTAATTGATAGTGTAGAATCTAACAACAGTGACTAATAATCTCGAACATGCTGTTAGTTAAAGAGCCAAATATTTATGATAGTTCCGATAATAATTACAACGTATTCTGCTATACAAAAAAAAAAAAGTTTGAGAAGATAAGAGGCAAAGAAAGAAAAATTCGATATTTTGGAATATCCGCGAAGTGAAACGAACGGCCAATAAGGTAAATAATATAATCCAAAGAGTCCGAGCGATTTATTTTCTGAAGAGATACATTCAGGATTATGCGAGAACTTTTATTATTCTTATAAAAATATAAGTTATTGAGACATTGCTACGATGTCTCAATACGATGTTGCTAAATTGGACTACGTCTGAGTTTGAAGAACGTTTACTTGAAGCTTTCAATATCATTAGCCTAGTTTTCAACATAAATTTAGCGCAGGCTGTACCAATGACCAATAGGAGAAATTGCCAATGACCGTTTGGTGTAATTGTTCCTGGTATAACTTATGTTCTTCTAAGTTCTCCCTATGCACTTTCTCAAGTTACAAATATTTATGGTGTTCGAGAAATGTATTTCAGAGAAATTTAATGTGAGAATTATATAAATTTTCGGGCTTATAAGTTCAACTACTAAATGAATTAATGCTAAGATAATACGAGTGTGTAATAATTAATGTAATGAGAGTGTAATGTTTACCTTTCTATGTTTTGTGTGACTCAATACGTATTTTGCGATGTTATTTTTTGAGAAGTACCGGCTGTGTTTTTGGTTAGTCGCAGCTGCTATCAGCGCTCGGGTGCAGCCTGTACCCGTACCGAGCGCACCTCTCGTGTTGTGGGGCTAATACCCTCTGCATTCGAGTATATTTGTTAGCGTCTTAGTGCGGCTAAATACTGAACCAGTCGCACCTCACGTGTCGTAGGAGTTAATAACTTCCGCGGTCGGGAGTAATCGGCTTAAAGCGTGTTGGCGTGGCTAGATTTCGCGTCACTCGCTGTCGAACTCTCCTGCGTTTCGGTCAGGCTAGATCCCACATCACTTGCTTTTCTCAGCAGCGTATCGGGGCTAGAACCCTCGATAGTTGTGACTGTTTTGGGACGTTTCGACGTGTCTACATCCCTCGTCAGTCGCTGTTTAATTCTTCAGCGTTTTAGCGTGGCTAGTAATCACATCCCTCGCTTTTCTTAGCAGCGGGTAGGGGCTCTACCCTCGGCAGCTTTGACTGGCTATCGGCGTTTCAGTGCGATTCGAACCAACGTCATTCGCTGCTTTTTGTTTTGTTTAAACTCTTACCCCAGTGGCTGCAATGCGGTCGTTTGGAACTGTCGGTTGTTAATGAGAAATAACATGTACCTTCTTTATTAGAAAAATTCGTGTGCCTTTGGATGAAGACTTGTGTATCCTCCGCGAAGATCCTCAGTATACTATGAATGTACGCGACGAATTTATTTCCTCGTCTCCTCAACGCATGAAATTTAGAGCTCGGCTAAAGCGTCGCGCTTTAGCCCTTTTGTTCAAAGCCAATACGCAAATTCCCTGCGAAGTCAGCACGCTAACTCAATTATTTCAACTTCGCAGGGGTGTTCCCGGTTTCACTTGTGTCGTCATATCATTCGATGTCTTCACGAAGGTCCCAATATCCGAATTAATAACTCGAGAAAAAACACAGTACTCTATATGCGGCGAAAAAATAATTCCTTCTCAAACAAATGTAAAATTTATAATTTTCATTCATCTATGTCGCTAATTTCTAATGGAAGTAACCGATTTATTTTTATGAATGTCTCGATTTCTTTCACAACTTCAAAATACATTTTCTAGCTTAATTATTCTATCTTATAACTGTTATAATCTTGAACAATTGGCCACATTACGAAGGTTATTAGTGTGAACATCAGTAATGGATGCATGCCATTGATCAGGGCTAATTTTTTGTTCAGTTGGGGCATTTTCGTAATAATAATTTCAGATATTCTGTTTTTAGGCATTATTTCTTCCCACAATTTACGTGTTATTAAAGAGAACGCCTCACTTATCAACGAGATTGGATGACTTGCTTCATTTATACTTTGTCGTCATCGTTGCAAAACACGCACCATTGATCTCACTTTAGACGTACAGCAGCCAACCATTATCATCCATCTATCACTTCCTGGCGATCACAGATGCTCTATGAGGAATTAAGAGAGTGTTCGAAATACTGGAAGAGCAGGTCATGGAGGCAAGCTGGGATATGGCGTTGATTGATTTCTATTCAATAAAGAGCTTCTGAGGGATCTTTGGAATTGATCATAGTCGGCAGATCTCTTCTTTTGTGCCGGACTCTGAGCAATGCAACACGTAAGGCGGTCACTTCGATATCACCAAGGGGCCATCATTCTGTTGATGTTTGTGTGTTTCTTGGAAATTCTGAAAGTGACTTGAAATTTCAAATTACTTCCATACGACCGTTACAGTTATCGTCAAGCGACATGACACCAGTTCCTACAAAAACATCGAAAAATAATTTCGCGGTCAAGATGAAATGTGAGAAATTAATCCGAGGAGACTTCTCATGAAGTATCAATTTGCAATTACATAGAGTTTCATCAATTTCATTTTAATGTTTAAATGTAATTGTGGTGGTTGTCCACATGACCTTCAAATAATAATCTCTCTTACATACAATAATTTCATTCATATCTGCCTGAATACGGAATAAATCGCAATGTTCGCGTTGATCTACGGCAGAAGAAGCGGTCGTTCATCGTACCGTCAATTTTGCACAATAAATGCGATGGCGCAAAATAGTTCGGAGGAATTCAGTTTAGAAAACCGTACAATAAACAAAGTTTCCCTCGTGTTAAAAATAGAATATTTTTTTAAATGATTGCAGAATTTAAGAATTTACATCGTTCTTCTTATAACCTTAATTATTCTCTGAATTGTATTGACTTTGTTGTGCTTCGTATGCTGCGGGTGATGAAGACGGACGTGACATGTCTGCAACTTGTCATCACAGAGTACGAGTAATTCGAGGCTGCCATGACAGTATTGATTTGTATGACTGATTTGTACACAAATGTATCCGCACTGCATGCGATGCTTGTCATGATGATGTGCCAAAAAGTTGAACATCATCCTTAATTAATTCCTGCTTATGTCACTACTATAATTTTTTTATTTGTGCAAATTCTCGCGCCACACTGAAATTTCATTCCAAAACAGTACTGCGACTCAATTTAGTTTTTCGTCATATAAATGAGAAAACAGGTTAATATCACATTTATTATAATACATACAATGTTCAATGTTCTATATTGTACACAATATAATTCGAAGGAGGCCTAAAATTAAATATATTAAGTTCCTATATGCAATGAAAGGTCTTTTGCCGTCACTGAAGTCGGTACACTCGAAGTCGCTTAAATAAATATTAGTATATATTTCTGTTATGTGTCTACTCCTAGCATAGCCCAGCAAGACATCGTCCACGCACCCACAGAAGGGACAAGCAGAGAAGTCAGGCTGAAGACAGAGCCATGGCGATGTCAAAGGAAAGTCCGACTAGAAGAATTGAAATGAAAGCATTGCACTCATTTGTCGCAATATTCTTCCTTTCCTTTTAGTTTTAAATCCGAGCTGTTCGAGTTTTTGAACGTTGATATAAAATAACAAGAAAATGTTCTTTAAATTCAAATGTGAATATAACGGCGCGCTTGCGCTTCTTTGACACATATCATTCGATTTTGTTCCTATTGAAGAGTCAACCCTGCTGAAAAAAACTTTATGTGCACTTGAAAATTAATACTTTACAGTACTTGTTCGGGAGATCGACATTCTTTGATGGCCCCCGAGAAGTAAAGTGATGGTCTCTTCACCGACTACGCTGTTGGAGCGTTCACGAGACCAAATTGTAAACAGTGTCTGAACACGTGAAAAATTGCAACCTAGATGTTCTGTGAGTTAATTGGGTAACCAAACTATACTGGATCAATTTGATCCTGTTCACATAGACGCCGTGTATTTGTCGACATAAGACTTATTGTACCATGAAATATATAATTGTTGTTGTAGTTTAGTTTAAAATATTTTCAGGTTAACAGGGCACGTTTAAAAGCAATGTAAATTGGTTTCATTTCTCAATGTTTCACTACCGAGATCAGAAGATAACAGCGGCTCAGAATACTATAATATAGACAACAATATAGCATTTTTTTAACGGTACACAGGTCATTTTATGTTCAGATTTTATTTTATTATGACGAGTACAATGCCATGCAAGAAATGTCTGACTGAGTTCATTTACTCTTCAAGTTAATACAATTAAACAGCGGCATGCTGTAATATTTTCGGCGGGGTAAATCAACCAAATCAGTTATATATATTTTGACACAACATTGTAAGGTGCTTCGGTGCGACACGATGTGAAACTAGTTAATCGAAATTTGTAATCGTGTTAATAACTTTAGTTTAACGGTAGAAAATTATTATATGAGTCAAATTCTAATCACATTACATCCTGATCCTGAGTTAAAATTAAATTTTTCAAAGCAAGTGTCTTGTTCATAATCGAAAAACCTTTTTAGCTTTTGACACTACCTTGGCACTAGATTTACATTATTGACTATATTATGTTATTTTTTCCCACGAATTAATTCAGTCACTGAATCTCATACGAAATATTTCAATAGTTGGCCGTGGTTCAGCTTCCACAATTGGGCTCACCTCGAACTCAAATCTCTATATACTCATTAATACTTGCCACTTGACTGTAAAATTTATAAAATATGAAACGGATTCAGAATTCGCAACTGAAATGACTGTCAATTCAGATTACTTAATAAGGTACAGTCGCCAATGAAGGCTTCCGTGGAATTTGAGAGTTAGCTCTAATTTATCCTATAAAATTCAGGGTTCAGTCTAAAACATATATGGCAGCTTCTTCCTGCATATAAACGAAAATTCAGTCAATAAAATCATATTTTTAAGCTACAAGAACACTTCAGGGGCTGGGTCGGAAGTGCTTGAAATCCTAATCGTTTTACTGGCTTCTGTGGAACCAACAATCTGAGCAGAGACATTTCCACCAGAGCCATGGTCAAGAGTTTTTGGGTCGGACACACGAACGGCCTCATTAGCATTCGTAATCCGATTATCAAGGGTGTTACCTGTCGTCCAACTTTTGTCCTCTCCCTGCTGAATAGAATTATTTGGTACTTCGTGATTTGAAGAATGTCTTATTTCAGTTATACTGGAATAACGGATATTACAACTGTTTGTGGCTTTATTTGGTACGCTTTCGCGACATTGCTGTGAAATATTCACGTGAGCTGATGAACCATTGATTGATTCACCTTTCAAGTTTCCCGTAAGTTTTAACTCGTTGGTATGCTCCAATTTCTCCTCAGATAGGCTCAACTTGGCTGAACTTGTGGTCACGACTGACGTTTGTAACTCCCTTGCGCCAGGCAATGCGTCGGAAAACCGAGTGGCAATGGCAAGTGACCCGAGCTTGGATGGCTCATTATGAAAGTAAGGTGACACATATGTGCTGCCATGCGGCGTGTTTTCAGGTCTTGTTATTTGGTAAAGTGAAGAAGATGACAACAAATGTTCCGACTTCATCGCGTGCGAATCCTTTGGAGACTGCGCCTCGCTGCCATCGCTCGACGATTCTGGGAAAAATTAATGTTTCAAATTAGAGAACCAAAATTATATATACATTTATATATAATAATTAACACACAACCTTATTTAGCCTGCATCTATTTGCATCAGTTTGCAGTTCGACTTATAATGAAAACACAAAATGACAACGTGAATGTTAATGAGATTCGCACTGGAAAACTATCATAGCACTCCATGGTCAGTCATATGTTAAATTAAAGCTGACATTAAAAAATTTTCGTTATTTTGTGAATATGGACGTCCGAATAACATTCCAAGTTGAGGAGGCGACTTGTGATATAATGACAGGAGGTCGCTGTACTAACACTTTGTCCGGCTACTAAATGTACTAATCGAATCTAACCGCAATATTCGGCCTTTAGTTAGGTCAGTACTTTCCAAATATTTGGCACACCATAGTTGTAGAGCATCGGGACATGGCCATTAAGTTGGGCGAAAAAATTGAAAGGCAGTCTCAGAATTAGCAATATAGTCAGTAATTGTTAGTGTTAAATTATTAGTATCAGCATTATTAATTATTATTATCATATCATTTCATATTTCGGAATAGTATTTCATATTGTCAAGCTGAAAGGTTTGATTGCCACTACACACAACCTGCTGAGCTGCACCGATTTAACCTGCTGGTATCTAATGAAACTAACATGAAAATGGCGATTAATTAATCGACGGATGGGCGTAAATCCAGAGCTGCTTCAAGTTGTGATTGACCATAAAGTCTAGTACTACAGATTTTTCCATGAGTCATGAAAAAATAAATTTAATCAAAATGTATGTTAATCCCCAACAGTCACACCGATGTTGTAGTGACAGGTCAAATCGCATGAAATTCGTTGGGATATCAGACAAAAAAAAAAAAAATCAACCGCCACAAACATCTGAAGATTTTCAGCCATTAGCCTCAATTTAAAAAAGACGCTGTTAGACAAACGTTTTTTCATTGTTAACTATTTTTTATAAAGAATTTATTGTGAAGAAATTATTAATCATTTCACTCGATTCCACAATCGCGAAACGCTGCATTGACCGCGCAAGAAATCGAGTTATTGAGCTTAGTTATATAAGCAGATTAAAATTGCTAAGACAAAAACTAAGGACAAAATACGTTGCACACATTAATGAAAATGAAATTATCACAGGGCATGCTTTGAAATCTGTACTAATTAAAATATATGACACTCATCCCACGAAAACTTTGAAGTTGAAAATGAAGTAGATGAAGAAAAAAGGCCAAATGTACGCAAGTTCGATTGGTCGAACATAAATAGGGATTTGGTTTTCGTCATCTAAAATGTGGCACAAATATATCATTCGACCTTTCTTACACCCACTTTTCAGAAACAGGATATCAGTCTGCTACGTCAACCTATATAACTTTCATTTCAACGTACATAAACAATTTCAACCAATAAAGAATATTCTTTCATATGAGCCTTGAAGTTATTGTGAACCCATTAACTCTCATGAAAAAGTTGAAACAGTCAAGCTTGAAGACCTTGACTCAACGGTTGGCATTGAATTGTTGCAGGCAACTACCCTCTGTAAATACTTATTTCAATCGAACTAATCGTTCAGTTTTAGCCATTCCAGGCGCCCATTTGCAGACCGAGAGAATTTCAATCAAACTGAGTTTGATTGAAATTACATATTTACAGAGGGTAGTCGACAGAGGGTTTGGAGCCATACATATTATTCATATGTATGTCTCCAAACTTGAGCGTTCTTAGCTGAGAGCGACAAATTAGCTAAAAAGCAGTTCCATGTATCAACACGAGCCTCTCTTCCTGAATTGTTCTGAAAGCCTGCGATCACTAAAACATTATTCGAAAATTCATTTAAGTATCGTATGTTATGGAAAATGCCCAAGCCGGTTTTCTTATCGGGCCAATTGGACACATCGGCGGAGCATAAAACGCTCCTAAAATGAGCGTGTTTGTTTACCTTTAGCCGCTACATTACTCTAGGTGAGTCTCTGGTCAAGAAAAAAGTATATAGAAGGCCTACGGGTGCATCTGGGGATCAACATGGGTGGGGGTTTCTGACATAACCTTGTTCACGTGTTTGTTACGAAAAATGAACTCTGCTCTAATCTTTACATTCAAAGGATTCGATATGACCAAGTTTTCTTCTCTGAAATTAAGAGCTGTTACGCGTTTTTGCTATCATGGCGAATTATTTTCGGTACTAAGTTGGTTTAATGTAGCCGTGAACTGTCTTCGTAGCAGCACACTTTCCGCGTAATGTAATTGCTTTCGAGGCCCCTTAAAACTGTCTATTGCAGGCGACGTATCATTCAGCGCGCGGACATGTGCATGGAATCAGCCTGCTATAGTAGCCGAGTGTTCCGGTAATAACTGCACTTCCTAATATAATCTCCCGTTTGTCAAGCTATTAAGAAGTTCTAAAATCGATTGCACCGGACAACGTAACTCAGGCAGCATTTTCATCCACATCCGCTGAAGGCAACGTATATATGTACATAAAATTACTTCAAATCCTTTATTTATTTACGTTCACGTATAGTGCGCAAATTTATTCTACGTCTTATGCATTGTGTGCTATAAAATCTTTCCTGGTGAGAAATTGTAAATAAATTTTATGGATTGGTTACTGATAAATTTAGATTAATAGTATGCAGAGACACTCGCATTAATATTTTGAATTTAGGTAAACAACAAATTCCTCATATATAAGTATGGTCTAATATATTTTCAATTATATTAGGGACAAAATTTAACCAAGGTAATTTAAGTAGTTATTTAGGGGTTTAGGATGAACAATTACATCCAAAAACAAGCGATCAAATCTCAGTTGACTTAGTAAATTCAAACTCCAAGTTCAAGTTGATTTGATATCATTTTACCATTTTGAATCCAATTATATTCAGATGGACTTTAAGTCAAGTGAGACGTGATCAATTTGTGCAACACTTCGTTCTTCCTGATCACTTACGATTTTTAAAAACCCATTCAATAACAGTAATTGAGAATGTGCATCGTTAGGAGCTTGACTCGTCTCCTGAGTAATCTGAAAATTTCAGGATACGGTGAGGTAATCTAGGAAATTTTTTCTTACAATTTATTTTAAATGCACAATGCACGAATTCGTCATATTTTAATTTTGCTCACGATGATATGTGATATATTTGTTACATTTTTTCATCGACAATCGAATTTACTGCAATTCTTTCGTTACCCCTCCCACCTCCTCAGACCCAAAAAGCCCCACGCACCTACAATCAATCTAGTTATGTGCTATGCACCAATTTTCATCTCCTACTGCCTCTTCTATTTCTACGTCATCTCTGTGGCCACCATGTGCCACCTCTTGTTTTTCCCATTTTTTCCTTCTGACACACTGACAATAACAGCTTGCAATATTTTAATAGGAAATTTTCACTGATAAAACGGCTAAGGAACCCAGCACTTTCATCCGAAATGGAGAAACTTGATACAATTTATCATATTTTGCACCGTAACCAATTTGAGACCTACAATCTGAACACATTTGACTGACTTGATAATTAACAACGAAACATAATCTGGACTATGAATAGATTAATGCTGCTCATGTCTCTTGCTATGATGTTTCTGGTCTATAAATAATGTTTCTGGTCACAATCCACAGCTTATGGTGCTGTGGATTGTGAGAGTCCTGTCCAGCCCCATGTGGAAATGCAAAGGAATTCTTTAATTGAGTGAAATGCGAAATGATGTTGTTGGTGGACTTTCTATCTCTTAAACTGACGTCTCGCCGACACAAAGATGATACTAATTAATATATTTCATATTTGCTAACCTGCAAAAGTTAAGCCGTGAGCAGAGGGAATGGAGTGCGAGGCGAGGGACCTGTCGTGGAGGGAGACCGTCGTCACCCGAGACGAGAAGGATGTCGGCGCCACGTCAGCGTCGTCCGTCGTCTCCACAGAGCTGTGCGAGTCATGCGCTGAATCATGAGCTGAGTCTTGATCTCGAGCTGACATACGAGAAGAGCGTCCTGCCGAGGCCTCCAGCTCTTGAGAAGAATCGCTGTATGCCAAGTTTTCCAGGGACACGTCTCTGGAAACGTCTTCAAGACTTCTTCTACCAGAATCAAATTCCGAGTCAACGACTGATTGTTTTTCTGAATCTCGAGGCTCTTTAATTGACACTCGCTTTTCCCCTCTTTCCATGATAGGCAGATTGATTGTTTCACATGTCAGTCTTTGTGGTGGAGTGTTTTCGTTTGTATTTGAAGGCAAATTTCGCGATTTTTGACGCGCTAAATCCTCTTTACTCACTAATGAAGTCGCGAAATTGGCTTTTTGAATGTTAATAATTCGAGGAGATCCATCGGAGACGTCTGCACCGCGAAGATCGGGGGGTTTTGTTGCAATTAAAGGAGCAGGTGTGACTGTTTTATGAACTGTGGCTTTACTTAACTCTGTCCTCTCACTGCTGCTCTTTGACTCTGTCGATGAAATACTCGTTCTCATTGAAGCGTTTCTCTCGTAAATGTCAGTACGAGGATATTCTAATGCCTCTGTTACAAACGCTGAGGCATCTTTACTGCCCGAAAGCTTGCTGGCTACGGTAGATTTGTCGTCTGAAGAGTAGATTGTAGAAGCGCTTTGGTTACCTACCTCGGACATCTGTCTTATAGGTACAACTCTTCCTTTCCCCTGAAATTAAAAAAAATGCAATTAGTTTTGGAATATTGTAGCAGAAACATCCTAGAAGTATATGGAATATTCAATGAAAGAGAATGCTGGATTTGTGAATTTGAAAAATTGAAGCGGACAATTATATTCATTGTCATCTCCATATAACTGAACCTCATGAATTGCCATTGTTAAACACATGTTTTTAGAAGCTAATATTAGGATTAACAGGTATAATCTGGACATACTTTTGCTTGTCTTTCGAATAAATTCTGGGCAGACTCGGACTTGGAAGGAGTTTTAGAGCCCGGAAATTGTTGTTGAGGTTCATTACTTCTTCCTTGCTTATTTTGTTGGTAATACAATACGCTGTCGTCAAGTATTTCTTGCGCCGGCATATTTTTGGATAACGATGCCTTAGAAGTACTCAAGCGTCGTTCTTGAAATCTGGCACCAGAGTTCGGCGTGACTTCTTTGCTGCCTGACAGCCTCTTGGGAATCATGTCTGACAGGCGCTCGTGTATCTGCATTAACTGTTGTTTGCCAGTAGAAGGAGGTGCCATGGCTCCTGCTGCGTGGACTGCATGTTTCCTGCTTCCAGCTGACTCCGGCACAACCTTTTGCTTCACTGCCTGACTGCTGGTCACGCCTGAGTCGCTTCCCGTACAAGTAGCCGGTACGTCGCTCAACGTCTTCCTCACTTTACTGTGATCGCTCACCTCCAGCCTCTCACATCCGGAAGAAGATGGCTGCATCAAACCCTACAAGCAACGAAAATGTTTGAATATCATCATTCGATTTAACGTAGCGTATCTCGCTTGATAGAAGTTCGGCATGAATCATTACAGCAAGTGACGAACAGGAAAACTCGACTCTAGAATAAGAAAATAACTACACTGCATGGAGTATACCCACCGTTTCGAGCCCGACGTAATCTCTTAAAGACTTCTTTACAATAGCAGCGTTGGGCGAAGACGGAGGGAGGTGACAGCTCAGCAAGTGTCTCATCGTCTCAGGGGAATCTGAGCCACCAAGCCGCCAATCCCAGTCGTCTTCTTATTATATTAAAACGGGTAAAAGTCAAAATTTTATAAAACTTTAATTTTTTTAACCTCGACTTCATCTTTTTTCATATAGGTACACCCTCATAGGAGGAGAATAAGCTTGCTACAAATGATAGAAGTATATGCATTATACATACATTATTTTTCAGCGATAGCTCTAGCCTTATAAACTTTCTTCAATTTGGTACCCACCAATTCATAATGAAGAAAAAAATTTATTTCAGGTCATTCTAGAGTCTGGACTGACTTCGTCCAAATTCTCAAATATGCCACTCGACAACTGCTTAAGAACACATGTGTGAATATTCTTTTATAAACTATACTTCAGTTTATTATGAAATATGGTCGTGGTAGCTCTAAATTTTCCTTAACCAACCAATATCCCCAACCTTATTCTAAGTCGCAAGAGACCCTGAAATGAATGATATGACTCACTAACCCGAGGCCGGAGCGGCAAGCGGCTGCTGCCGGGCAGGTGGAGCTGGCCGTTGTTCAGACGAGCTGGTTTAACAACATTATATTATTTATTGTATTGCTGTATGGCATGAAATCTTAATTTAAACTCTAAACTATAGATCGTCTTTAATCCTCATACTTTTAGACAGTCCAGAAATGTGAATACAACTGTTAACGATACAACTTTTATGTAACATGGAACCTACCCACAAATCTCCTTGTATTTCATGAGAACAGCACAATTTACTAAAAAATCAAGTTGAAGCTTTAATGTCAACTTCAATTTTGCCTAAATAATTATCGTTCCAATTTATTATCAGGATTCATCAATACATCCACTCATCACACCCGCCTGCATTTTTGGACAGTCATATATAACAGAAACTATATTCTCGCAGAAAATTTTTTGAAATGCACAAACGCAGTTGCAAAATAATGTCATAAGATTATCTTGTCATATGATTAAGTTTCGAAACGGTCACGATGAAAGATCAATATTGTGTCCCATGGTTTTCACCTTTGTTGAAACTTTGTCGAATATTCTAAAGTATGCGTTTTGGATGACGAAGAACTCGACGATGATGAAGAGGAAGAAGAGAGCGACGTGGTGCTGGTGTTGGCCGGATTAGCCAGCGCGGCGGGGCCAAGATTTGTTAAAACTTGTACAGGTGAATAAGACGTCGGTGGAATGTCTTGGGTGGCTTCGTTGGAGGCAGACGATCGCAAGGAAGCTTGACTTCGTTGGTGAGGCTTGAGGTTACTCGAGTCTTCATGCTGAACTTCTCTGTCCTGATGAGGGAAGAGGGAAGGAGCATGCTCGACCAGCAGCTCCACGGCACGCGTCTGGTGCACGGTGTCCACAAGGGAGCTCAGTGAGGCAGAGCCCTCGGCCGTGCGAAGAAGTGTTGGACCGAAAACGATTCCTTTGAAAATGCAGGGTAAATTAGTCACATCATGACACAAATAGGTCTAGAATATCAATTTCGTCTATAGATATAGGAGACAAATTACGGGAATGGGAAAACTTATGACCCGTGTTAGTCCCGTGGCTTAACTCATTGTAGATACTCAAATGCAGTGGTAATATTCGGAGTGTATCATAGTAAAAATAACAGCACCATAGTTGCATAATTACGTTACAATACAAATGCAAATTTCCCTCTGTACTTTTTTTCATCGCACTCTTTCAAATAACATTAATATAGCTTCAATCATAAAATGAACTATATATTGACTAAGCCCCTTTACCAAGATTAGAGGGTGGCATGTTGTTGACGTCGTGGTTGGCTGCAACTCGGTTCAGGTGAAGCATGAGCTCCGCCAGGCTGTTCTTGAAGTGCGCTGGAATCTGACTTATCACTTCTTTGAGTTGTTCAACAATAGCCTCGTTGTTGTTTGCATCCGCTGAACTATTAGCTGGAAAATCTTTCGCTATTCTGTGAACCGAGACACACAGGTTATATGAAAATTTTCGAAAGCATGAATAAATCATCTAAATCCAACAATTTATTCAAAAGTGCATCAGCTACAGATTAGGTTTCCAGATTGATAAACACAAACAGTTTCTTTGCAACGAGTTGGTTTACCTGATAAAATCAGGATAGAGTCTGAATGTGAAGAGCGGTTCTGGAAGCTGACGCAGATATAATTTCAAGACGTTGGCGATCACGTTAGGATGCTGATCCGTCAGATCAACAAGATGGTCCCCGTTTTCAAATGCTTGGCACAATTTCTCTACTCTCGTTTTCAGACCCGACACACGGTAAATGCCCTGTGGAAAGTTGGGCATGAGGTACAACGATGAATGATTTAATAGAGCTTGCATAGACATCGAATGGTCACCGTAACCCAGCTGACTTCGTTTGTAGACATGGGTGTCTACAATGCGCCAGTGCCATTTAAAGTTTTATACTCTTATATGTAGTGGGGGTCGAGACCTACAGAGTAGGGTGGAGAATTTTTTCCGAGTTTTTGGAGTTCGATTTCACAATAGTGCGGACTCACTATAGCGAAAAATTTATAATAAAAAGTGCATTAAAACGACGTGTGTACATTTTTAGACCCATCGGTTAATTACTCTATGATTCGATAGTCGCTACAAAATTTCAAAATAATTGCGAGGTTTTACCTGATTCAAGATTAATCTGAATTAAACATACAATATAAACGAAACATCGGGTCTTCAACTAGCATCAGATAGCCAATTGATCATTTGCTGAGAGTGAACAGTTGGGTAAAATGTAAAATGTACAAATTCGATTATTGATACGATTTTCTATTTTATTTTCTTGCAGTCGAATAAAATAACTTGTATTTCACCAAGATGCCAGATAATGTCTGCCACACTTATTCAGCCGAGACCTGCAAAGTTTATTTAAGCACGTGTAATAATGGTCCTAGAAGTGCATAGTGTTCTCTGAATTTTTGGGAGGCCATAAATAATAATTTTACCGATGCACACTCGATCTATGCTTTAGAAAAAAGTAACATTGTTGGCAGAATCCTCAACGGTCAAATACAATGCTAATGTATAACGTACATAACTTTCCTGTGCGTAATAAAAATTAGAAGAAAATTAAACTCAAACTATGCCTGACGTTTTTCTCTGCGTTCCTGTTATGCAGATTAATTGTTAGTATTCTATTGGAGTTTGTAATTAACATTGTGTTCACAATTTTTTCGGCGCCATACACATTGGTTGCAAATTGTCACCTTGATATCAGTCCCTCTGTGGTCAATCTCCTTGTAGTATTCTATTGGAGTTTGTAATTAATATTGTGTTCACAATTTTTTCGGCGCCATACAGATTGGTTGCAAAAGGTCATCTTGATATCAGTCCCTCTGTGGTCAATCTCCTTGTATTCTATTGGAGTTTGAATTAACATTGTGTTCATAATTTTTCCCGCACCATATGGATAGGTTGCAAAATGTCACCTTGATATCAGTCCCTCTGTGGTCAATCTCCTTGATGCACTTGCTGATGAGGTGTGGTACGGCCACCTTACTGTCCCCCGCGAGCTGCGCCAGGTCCACGCCGAAGGTGGTCATCTTCCGCGGCAGGCGCTTGTGGCCGCACTGGATGGCCAGTGTCTCCAGACACTTCTTGTGACACGCTAACCCGCACTGCTCGTACATTAATTACACATCTACATAAACTTTTATTATTATATATTATTTTTTCTGTTATTATTGAGGCGTAAATTGCCTTCATGTATTCGAGAATAAGTTTGTACAATGATTATCGTTCGTTTTGTCTATTTATTTAAGTTTGCTACTTCAGCCCTTTACCGGAACCCATACAAATTTTCCTCACGTTCCACAACGGAATCAGAACAGATGCTAAGTCAATTGATCTTATAGATGTTACTAAAACACTTTGTAAAACTCCAAATCACTGCAAAATTAAAGTCCGAAGCCTCAAAATGTTCCACACAAAAAAAATATGACTAAGAAATATTAAGAACTGCCCAGTTGCATTCCAACTTTGCTATTGTAATGCAATCACAAAAAAATTAAGACCTGATGACGGAAGAGAAATTGGGTATTAAACCGAGTAGAAGTATAAATTGAAATATACTGCCTGTCATAACTATATAGATCACTACCAAGCTCTATTCAATGAATAAGTCCTAGACAGTTATGCATGTCTGTAAACATCTGTAATTCGGACACCAAAATGAATTAGATGCTGATTTCAGAAACTAAAATGCCGGTCAAAAATAAAATCCTTGTCCTCGAGTTAACGGGTTGAATTACATATTTATCCATTCAAGGCTAATAATGAGGATTACTTTTTAGTCAATGTTAGTTTTTGGTAAAAATATTCGATCCAGGCAAAAGTTACAAAAAGTAAGCTATAAGAAGTACTTTAACACGAAGGAATTCACACGTTCCAATCAATGCACATTTGCGAATAATTTCCGCTAACCAAAAAAAAGCTTATCCATATATCAAAATCAGCATAGTTTAAAAATAATGTAGCTTCAAGCTAAATGGGTTCAGGCGTGTCCGTAAATATCTGAATAAATCGTGAAAATATATTTATGGGTTACATAGTTCGCACGAGTGCACGAATTATTACAATTCAAAAGAGTAACCCACCTCGCCGCACTCCTGGCCATGGAAGTACACGTAAGAGTCGCACTCACGACAACGTGAGGGCGTCTTGAGCTTCCTGAAGGAGTGGGTCTCGGCCGCCTTACTCCTGACGTGCACTTGACATGACCACGCGCCGTCTGGCCGAATTAGAAAGACTGCAATCAATCACATGTACAATAGGAGAATAGGGGAAGAAATAGACATGGCGGTCAACTGATCTGCTCGTGCGGCGGAGGATAGCAAGAGACGTAAATATGCGGCGTTGGCAGCTCGGTATCGGTTCGAGCCAGTCGCATTAGAAACGACGGGTGCATATGGTGAAACGACTGGAGAGAGACTTTATGGTTGGAGCAAAGGTTGGGTTTGGCAGTGCAAAGAGGCAATGCAGCCAGCATCCTAACAGCAGTTAGAGAAAAGTTCGACGTGGGCCCGCTCCTCGCTCGCGTCACAGCTCAGTGACCCTCGGAGTCGGTGTAGGCCACCATCAGAGGCGTTAAGGTCGGGACCCTGATCATTGACATGAAACCATTCCTGTTTTTAATTAATAAAATTAATTCCTTTTTGTTGGAATGGTGAGTGTGGGAAGCCTTATAAAAAAAACTGATCTGTGAAATCTTAGTTGAACAAATGCATAAATTGGTGAAAAGTCATCACTAATTTAATTACCGATTATTATTTTTAGCATTATAATGTGTAGCTATGCAATGAATATTTCTTTCGTTCCAGGATCAAGAGAAAACGATTATAATGGGGTTCCTTTTACGCAAAAAATGGAGAGAAGTGATGTGGTCAAAGCCCACTTAAATCAATCAACATTTTATGACTAAATTATTGAGGAGTTTCCAAACACCACGTGTAGTCAGAAAATGTGATTGATAGGAGGCCATATTCTCAGCTTATCCCCAAAGAAGACGGAATGAATCATACAAAAGTATGTCATTAGTCAGTCCCATTTAATCTATTTAGACTAGTTAAGGCTTTAATCATCAGCAGTGAGTGAGCTAAAAAAAATTATCCGTACCGACATGCTTAAAAGAAAACACTCAAAAGATTGCCGTCTCGCACTGAGGAGAGATGCTGTAAAACATTGACGAGTTGCAGACAAAACAGTTAAGAATAATACGGAAAATGCGCAGCTCACGTCTTATTCGTAAGCGATTAATTTTTACTATATAAAATTATTTTATTATTTCATTCACGTCTTATATTTTACGTCATATAGTTAATTAGCGTCATTTCGCAACTCCCTTGAATAACAAAATTAATGCAAATGCAACTAACAATATAAGGAAAGCTGTTGCCCAAACCTCGCTTGAGTGATTTAAAATCAGTAATTTTTAAAATTTCACACTCTTGTGCAATTTTCTTGTGAAAAACAAGTTATAAATCAGAAAAAAGTTCCGCTAAAAACAGCAGCCTGGCCCGATAGATGTAACGCTCTCATCGCCGCCCGTATTGACGCAGGCGCCTCGATACGATAACAAGTTGAGTATAGGCGAGGACAATATTATGTTTCAAGCTGCTTAAAATCCAGTCTTTATGTCCAGCTCATGATGTCTAGAGAAGCTGAGTCAATATTTAAATAATTTCACAAGACTTTCAATATCTTTACACCACATGTCCTGCATGAGATTGCCACGTGAAAACATTTACGAGTATGACACAACGACTACAAAATTATAGAGTTTGAACACATGACAGTTTCCCTGTAATTACAAATTGCGTTTTTAAAAAAGCAATGACGTGAATTGTTCTATGGGAGCTTTAAGAATATTTCTTGCACCGTGTATGAAAGAAACAGTGATCACATCATGTCCTGCATATCAACATAATGTTGAGTCAATGCGTGTAAGAAATGCTACTGGAGAGGAGCAACAGCAAGTGCTGACAATGTCCTCATGAGCAAAGAAATCATAATATCATTTAGTGATTATCAGAGTCAATTTGAAATTCCAAATTAAATCCTAATCGGACCATTTATTATAAATGGCCACGTGCGGCGAAAATTTTCTTAAGAATTTTATTCTTTTATATGTCTGCGCTGCATTTGACCGGAATAATTGAAACAGCGCCATATAGCAGTCTTGCAATTTTAAATTCGTCAATCGCGCCGAAGTTTTCATACACGGTTGCCGGATATCGGAGGCTTGGCAGGAAAATAATGATATATTATTCACTAAATTTGTTAGTTATTTAAACATAAATATTTTTATATAGTTCACACAGATAGAATCTTTGACTGGTAAATTTTTCAGCTTGTTTGTATATTCCTTATGACTAATGGGCCTGGAATTCACATAAATGTCTGTTGAGGTAAAAAAATTCACGACAAAAAGAGTACAGTCACATGTGGTGATATTCGAACATCTATTTTTCTACAATTAATGTCTGGTCTCCCGGAAGTTTTCCTATCTAATCATTTACGAATGTATTTACAAAAATTTCTACTGTACTGTATTTACATTCTCCTGCTGTCGAAAAAGATATCATTGATAGAATCTTCAAGTGACTTATTCAAATTTTCTTTGGTCGAAGAAGACAGTGTTACCCTTCTTAATTTGCTTCTAGAACCCAAGATTAAATAAAGTGCTTACTCATCACTTTGTAAGTAACAGATACCCATCATGACCTCGCTGATGAGTCATTATTCGCCAACTTGCCTCCACCCTGTCGACACCCCTACAGCCTTTGAAAATTTACTGACCTATCTAACCCGTGCTGCAACCGTTCATATCATTGCGTTTCGAATACGAAGCTAAACCCTGAGAGAAATAATTCCCCCCATTAAAAGTTGTTGTTATTCTCTTTTAATTTTAGTTTGTTCGTTTTCTTCTTTTTTTGTTCATGTTTATTCAGTTCCGAAGTTCGAGTAAGAATCGATTTAACCAGGTTTCATTGGATTCATTAACGAGCATTCATTCAATTAACACAACGAGCCTTCGTATTCAAGCAACGCTGCCAACTTGGTCCACGTTGGTCGCTTAATTCTTCAACTTCAGCCAGCGCGGCAGCAGGTATACCTCATGTTATCAAAAGTCTTCGTGTTTATTTTTTTGCTGTGTTGTTGTTTCTCTGATTGATGCCAGTTATTCCTTAATTTATTAGCGCTCTACAATAATTGTTTATCGCACGGTACTCTGGATAAATAACTCGATCAGTATCTTAATTACAGCAATTATTAATCAGGTGAATTCATGTCAATTTCAAGAGCATGCAATTGAGAGAATACAATTAAGATCGCGGTCTCTTGCTTTTGCTGTGGACCTCATTTTCTTAGGCATAACCAACACTCCTCTAACCACTCTCTCTTTTCAAACTCAAGTCGCCAACTATCCTTTACTCCTTCCCGAGTGCCTTCCTTTTACTGATTTCTCCTGTAATCCAAAAATGACACCTTCCGATAAACCCAATTACTGAGATACATCAAAATCTTGGGTTCTTTAATTTCTTGATCCATATATTTATACATTAATTTATTTCATATTCATAATTTGGCCAAATTTATAGGCAGTATAAATTTACTTTCAATTGGTGAACCTCGTTACTTAATTTTGTCTTGCAATATTCCACATCTGGAAGCTTGCGGTGCAACGCAGATTAAGATTTTTTTTCGACAAATGGACCATTTGTTGCGGCGGTCTTGCTGTGGGCTCACTTCAGAACTATCAAGGCCCAAGCATCAGCGTTATCATAGGGCTCATGATCGTCCTTCAAGCCCAATCACTAACGATGTTGCAAGAGAAACTCAAAGTCTAATGTGTTCAGGATTTAATGTTCCAAGTTTCAAGCTGTAAACTTTCCTGCAAATAAAACCACTCAATAACTGACCTAACGTTCCTATTGTGCGTACGTGAACGATTAGTCGATTGTGTCTAAAATAAAAATCTTGGAATTAAAATGCATCTGATCACAAGCCTATCAGTCTTCCAAGATTTAAATCAAATAAACCAATCAATCAATACTCCAATACATTAATTTATTCCAATATCTGTCGCAATTTAGACGCTGAACCAATTATTGGAATGAAACTATTTGGATAAATATAATTTGATTTCGTTCTCGTTTTATATGATTACGATTGTGTGAGGCTATCTGAGTTCCTCACAACCCATCTTTGGGTCGACTGAGCAATGTGCGATGCGTGATCACTGTGATATGTTCTCACATCACTTGTTTTCACTCAACTAATGAAATATTGCTGCTTGGTGGTTCTTTCGAAACAATAAAATGCTTATTCTCGATGGCTCTCTCGCTCAGTTGCGAGATTCTTCGGTAGAATTTTGTACAAGCGTTTCGAAAGTGCGTACGGTGGGTTAGAATACGATAAACGGCTGTTATATGCTTAAAACTAATTTCACAGCTCATTGTTGTTGTAAATCGAGCTGTTGCATTTTGCAAGATGTACAACCAAAACACAACTGTACTAAAGCAGATAAAAAATCACGTAGTAAATCACAGGAACTGAAGCACTCACTTGAGCTTTGGTATGAGGCTACTTCTTGGCAGAGGAATCAAACATAGTCGAATTATTGATTCTATAATGACTACTCGTGTTACTAAATTACTTTATCTCATAAATAAAAACACATCCTGTAGCCTCTTCCTTAAGTTGTATTACTCTTTTACACTCATTCCTGTACACGGTTCGCTGGTTTTATAGATAGTTTCAAACCAAACATTCTTGAGCTCAAGTTATGTACATGACTTTTGCCTGTGTAAGGTTCCATGTGTACTTACTTCAGCTCGATGAGGTTCTTTATTGAGCCGCCTCACGCTCCCGATTATAGACGTACCTGCTTCCGTTTCGAGCTCGTCGCCAGATGACAAGGCGTGCTGGTGACGAGGAAGATCAGGAGTGGTGAGGGCTGCGTGAGGTCGTCTCGGGGGCGGCACGGGTGATGACGATGGACTCTGACTCTTGGAGCTGCACGAGCCCACGCTGTCAGAGTCGCTGCCCGCCACTGGTGTGCCAGACCCGCCTCGTGGTGAACTCGACACTGACGGATCACATGTCAAACTTATGATAAATGTTTATGTGAAAACTTGAAATTCGTAGAATGTGTTTTATATTAAAGGCCGCGTTTAGAATTGTTTCTGTATGAACTAGAACAGGACTTTATTTAATTTATGGTTGTTACTCAGCCAAGTTAATCATAAAGCAAAAGGATTTTATTAATTAATGGTTGTTACTCAGCCAAGTTAATCATAAAACAAAAGGATTTTATTAATTAATGGTTGTTACTCAGCCAAGTTAATCGAACCAAACTTAAGGGGACCCACTACCCTAAAATTTTCAATTTTGGCGTTTTTCGGTTTTTGTGCTCATCTGAAAGCTGGAATTCTGCTCTTTCTAATGGTACCAATGCCATCGCTGTGCGCCAATATTTACGTTCATGACGTCTCTTTAAAGGGAAGCGGGTGGGAGAGTTCTTTAAGTAATTAGATATAAAGTAATTAGCTGCTGAAATCTTTGAATATAGTTTCTACTTGAGTTGTGCTGCAGTTACATGCTTAGTCTCATCTTAAAGCTGACATTCTGAGCTTTCCAACGATACTACTGCTATCCATGTACGGCAATATTGACGCAGATGGCCGGGCTTTAATTGGGGGCGGGGGGTGGAGTTCCTTCACTAAATAGACCTAAGAAAATTACAGCGGCAAGACTACATATCTTGGTGTATCTGGCATCTGAGCTCAGTTACCCTCCCAACATTGTACGTAGAGGTTCGCTACAAAATGCTGCTAGCATCCTTGAGTGGATTAAGCTACAGAAGCCTGTAGTTTGGTATCCATGCTACATTGAGTGCCTATTTCGAGGCGCACGGGATTTTGTCGCGCCGTCCTGAAAAGTTTGAAAAGTTCAACTTACTGTCACGGAAAACCTATCTCCTCCTACAGTTTTCAAGCTACAGCAATGAGACATATACCATTCGATTCGTAAAGACCATACCTATAGACTCTGTGATCACTTTTTTGAATTTCAGTCTGGTTCGTTTTTTATATGGGGGAGAAGGGGGGGGAGGGGGGAAAAAGGGTAAAAATGGGATAAAACGCGCATAAAAAAAACTAAGGGGAAAATGAAAAAAGTGATCACAGAGTCTATAGGTATGGTTTTTACGAATAGAATGATACGTGTCTCGATGTTGTAGGATGATATTTGTAGGAGGAGATAGATTTTCTAAAGTACCCCTTTTTAGCCGTTTTCTATGAATTTCACGTTTTCTATCAATTTTTTCGAAAAATTCATAGGAGCAAAATGTTCTTATTTTTACATTTTACGATTGTATGTGAAGTTTCATGATGATCGGATAATAACTGCGGAAGTTTTTCCGGAGGGTAGTGGGTCCCCTTAAAAGATAATGCTGAAATCTCGGGTTCTCACAATTTTTCTTACGACTTGCAGGAAACGAAAGTCCTGTGTTAATGTTGTTCATGGTATGAATAGAAATCACAACAGAATGTTTCAAAAACTTTGCTATGTCTTATACCTAGTAGAGAAAAAATGTAAATATTTTTTCACTTATTATAAAACATTAGCATCGATTTCATATTACCATATATTCTGATACAGTCTGTGATCAATTTCAAGTTAAACATTCAGTTTCATCATAAACACGTAAAACGTTACATTTACCTATTCCAATATTCACGGTTCAGATTCACCCGGTCGTAAGGTTTGTTGTTTTACAGCAATGATTATTTTTCTTCTAAGTTTCAATAATTCGCTCGAGAGGCTAATTATTGTCGCTGAGTTTGCACTCTGTTCATATAATTAATCGCAGTTCTCATAACAAACTCTAGCGCCTAGTTCTCACACTGCGTAATTCCTATAACTCATTATTTATCGCACTTTGAAAATTATAAAATGCTTCTTACAGACGTTTGTTTGCAAATTCTTAACTGCTCGATGAATTTGAGTGTTTTCCACCGCGAAAATTTCACATTAAATGCAAGGTTTTGGCAAGTGTTAAGCCCGCAATTAAAGGCTATCTATACAATATTTTTCTATATTAAATCGGCTTTAAAATCTCACTATTTACATATACTGATTGATAACATTTTTGAAGACGGAAACAAAATTTACTCAAATTCCGGTTACCCGGAAGCAAAATTTAATCAAACACATCCCAGCAAATAGATCAAATAACTTCCTATGCTTTATCGACGAATTTTGAAATCGTAGCTCGTTCAGATTTTATATTGGTGGTGTCGGCTGTCGAGAGCAGACAAGACGTTACCAGAGGGCAATAAGCCAGAACGACACTCATTGCATTCACTATGGTATATTGCAAATGGCGTTATAAACGCTTGGCTGAGACAGAGATCTTGCAATAAATAACATCTTCAACCAATCCGAACCCTAATAGTAGCCTATCCCAATTAAATAACAATCAATTATTTTCTATCTAAGCAACTCAAACTTTAATAATCAATATTTCTATGAAATTTTTTTTTTTAGCATTGCAAAATTCACGATGAAATTATATTCTGTTCAACGAATCCCATTCACCATTCGAATGGAAGTGCGGGAAAAATTACGAGGCAAGTAAAATTTTCAGCCTCACTCATACAATAAATAAATTAAATGTAAAAAAATGAAATGTAAAATGTACAATTGTTTCATAGAATTGATAAAAAGTTTGCACTATTCATTGTTTGTAATGAATGCATTTTAAATTATTTCGAGATTGTTCAATCAAAAATTCTATTAAGTATAGCTTGAATTTGTGAATTCTATACAGCGTAAGGAAAGTTTTTCTTTGCAATCCATGAAAGAAATGTCAATGTAATCTGAGAGATGAAAGAGAAGTTGAATTTGTGCCAATAGTTCATGTGACTCACAAAAAATATTGTAACTGTAATGTTTGAGCACATGTCTTCGTTAATATCTGCTGCCTACTCATGAGCTTTTCCAGTTTAATTCATCCTCGCATTTCTGCATTCACCTTTAAAGAGTCTATTTGTGTAAGTAATCTTCCTTACCTCAATTATCTCGAATTGTTTAGTATAATTTTAGTGAGTTCATTATTACAGTAATAATAAATGGAGAAGGGATGGGATGACCCCAATATCAACTTTCGAAACAATATGGCAAGCAAAGGAATAATTTTCTGAAGTGCTGAGATAAATGGAGTTTAATTTTATTAAACTTCTTCATGGATGAATTTCATGTAATTATTTTCTTATTCTACGATGAAACAGCAGGTTTATGATGTCTCTACATTATAATTTTTCAATGTGAATCTAAACGAATATGAGTTCTTTGGACAAATAAGGGTCATCAAGTTTTTCGGCGATTCAAAGATAAAAATTTAAAAATGTTAAACTGGAGTCGGGACGGAGTAAAATATTTCCAATGCAGCCGTCAGACAAAAATTATGACTTTTCTGTGTTATATCGATTTGTGTCAATAATGTGATTCTTGGTGAATACTAATCTCTGTATTATTTGTATTGAGATTGTTAGTCCTCGAATTAGAGAGGGCAGTCCACAGTGAATGCGATTTAGAATGCTTAGGCTCGTTACATCCTACGTATTCACGAAACTACTAATGGAATAATTATATCAACTGACTCAACCACTGCTGAACTGCAATAAATGACTGGATGACCTGATTCCTGATTTTGAACATCTCCAGTTTAATACATGCCATTTATTGCATGAAGCCTCCTCGGCCTGAGTTGTGCACGAGCATCTCTCCTTAAACCCAGCACTCGATATCATAGGAGATCGATGGGAGAATCCGACGGCTGCTGAGATTATTAGGCAATATGCCTTCAGCAAATGGGATTGAATTTATTATTCATGTAATTGCATTATTATCAAATCTCCAATTTTGATAACATTTGACAAAATGATGAATTTTAAGAATTTCATTTTTTCAAACACGGGGTGAATTTTGCAGAGAGTGAAAGAATTCGTCATTTGGGCACTAGCAGAAGCAAAATATTGAGCTGCACAGTTTTCGATCACGTGATCTGGCCTCCTGAATGTCGTGCGGCTTTTAAAAACGAAAGTGAGAAGCGATGACTTCATCCAAAACGCTAATTGGTTTCACATTTACGTTCACCAAGTTTTGACCCTTTACATGTATTTGTATGACTGGTTGCCAATTTATTGTGTAGTAACGATGCGTCCTCTCACGAGTGAATGGAGCGTTGGTATACGATTGCAGGTGCAGTGGATTCAAATTTTACGAGGTATCCTTAATTTTTGTTCCAAAATTTATTAGTCAAACATCAAATTTGCAAACTGTATGTTTGTTTACTACCATGTCATAAGAATTTTCGAAGCAATAAATGTTGTTAAGGGGTGAAAGGGTGAAAGCGGCAAGGTGTTTGTTTTAAAAATACAATTCCCTGTTCAAGACAACTATTTCAAAATGAAATTGGCTCGACGTCCTACACAATGAAGTAAACTACGCTGCACCTAGAATATTAGTAGAACATAGAAAGATTTATAAATCAAATTATGCGAATGGTTACGTTTATACGCTTACCAGATTAGTGCAGTAAATTATGCATTAATTTCATAGCAAACAGCAGTAATCTTAATTATTTTTCGAATAAATCTTTACATGTGCCGAACTTGCGCATTTGTGGCATAATAATAACGAAGAAGAGACCGGTTCTCAGATCTTGCGCGACACGATCCATTAAAATTCCACGCGCTATGTAGTAATTATCGTCCTATTCTTCGCCGACGATATATAAAGCCTTGCCCAGGGCCTGAGCAATCGAGCTGAGAGAAGCATCCAAATTCTCGATCAGCCCCATCCCAGCAGGCATAAGACGTTGAAACTACTTCCAATAAACGCTGTTTCAACGCAATCGTTTCGTAATCAACGTTATTTAAACGCCATTTGCTTGCTAGGACGCAATCCGCTCCAACTAATGAAGAAAGCTTTGACCGACTGCAGCTGTCACGAAGACAACGTGACGCCTCACCTCTCATGTCCTCGGCTCCCATTATGCCGCCATTCGAAGCCGCCGCGTAGAGAGCCTGGGCCGTGAGGCGGTTGCCAGCTGAGCCGTACTGCTCGAAACTGAAGGGCGGTGAAGCTGAGGTGCGGGACGCCGTGACGGTCGGCACCGCAGGGACGGCCGCTGCTCGTTTCACGAATGTCATGTACTGCGAGCCAGGCTCGTACTGGCGAGCCTTCTCGGCCAGTGCCTGAAGCTGGCGGTAGGAAAATGAGAAATATTTTAATATGCATCATGACACGGGAACAGAATTTCAGGATGATGGCACTACCATACGATCGTAACTCATTTCCTATAAAATTGCTATGTGGCGGTTCCTTTTTAATGGGGCATGAATTAGATACACTGATCATTGATCATTTCAATGAAACTTTCAGCGAAGAAGTAATTCTTGTAATAGTTTTATAAGCTTCAAGAATGTTCCCTTCATAGCGTGTTGTAGTGGAAACATCGCTTACATATTCATCGCTTATATATTACACGCAAACAAAGCGGCACTGACTGGATTTTATATTTTATTGCAAAATATTTAACTGATCATTAAAATCTTGTAAAAATTCCTAAAATTTTTCAAATAATTCACAGTGCACTATTTCTGCAATGGAAATAGGCGTTTCGTGGTGACTTCATAGAATTATTTACCTGCACAGGAGCCAGTTCAGCGACCGTCTGCTGCATCTGGAAGTACCGCACTGTGACAGTCTTAATTAAATGATCGAACTGAAGCAGCAGCTCCCGAGTCTGCTGGATTACTTCTCTCTTCGTGCGCATCCACGATGCGTGCTTCTCATTTGCGTCCGTCACGCACTGCTGGTACACGGTCGTGGCTTCACGCACCTGCGGACAAAGCAGAAGAAATATTAAAATTGAATATTTTCGTTTCCATAAATCACCAAAAACATTCATGCCTATATGGTCATCTTTTAATAGTCCTTCACGGTAGTGTCCTAATTTTATGCACGGGCCAAAGTGTTATCATCCGTGAATGCTAGCAGTTCTGCGATATAAACAAGAAAGTAAGTGATACTGCAGGAATATAGACGAAAGGAATATAAATATAAAAAGTAATATAATATAATATAGGTATATAAAATATATAATATAAAAATAGGAATATAAGAAGTAATGCAACGTGCCGAGCTTGGTAGGGACAGAGGCAGACCTTGTTAGCGGCGTCCTCGCGTTTCTTCTCCAGCTTTTCCTGCTGCTCCATGGAGTTGGTCTTGGGCTCCGCTTCTTTCAGGCGAGCGAATTCCTAACGAAGGGCAGACATTTAGGGCAAAAAATTTCTTGTAATGCAATGTAAAGACGACGTTCTGCCGAAATATTCAACGGCCATTATAACGCTTAACATAACTAACAAGGTCATTCTTCGTAGTCTAGTCCATTTTTGCCTACGAACTTAGTTTTAACCCTTTCACGGGTAAGCGTAGACATGTAGAAATTCAAATTTCTGAATACAATAAAAGAAAGTATTCAATTTCAAGATTTATTTACTTCTGTGAATTTTCGAAGATTTTTCTTATTGAAGGAGTAAATTGCAGTTGAAGAATTTATTAATTCGGTCACTACGATAAAAATGTTAAATAGCTTAATTCAAACATTAAATGTAAGGAATAAATACCTTGCCACAATTGAATTCCATTTCATCAGTTTATTTTAATTAGTTGGATAGGTTTTGCTACTTACATCTTTCAAAAAATGCAGAAGAGCATTCAATTTCATTTTCAAATCAAAAATTTCATTTAAATGTTCAAATTTTGATTTTTGGGCATAGTAGTGATAATGATTAAACGATGGTCAGCTTATAGCTAATTGGCTGAGGCATAATAACGTAGACTCAAACACAATAACAGGGGCCGTGGAGTTGCTTTTGGATGGTAATGTTAAGTAAACTAGCTCGCTAAATGTTTAATATGACCGTTTTTAAAAGTCAACGCAAGGCATTCATATGACGTTCAAATGTAAATGATTTTTTAACAATAGTTAATGTTGATAATACATCATAAAACAATCAGGGTGGACTATGGCTTTCAGCTAAATATTCAATACAGCCGCAGAATTTTGAGCGATCATGTTCGGTACTAACAACTGAAAATTGCATTATGTAGAATTAATTAAGCTTGGTCTATTTAATTGGTTCTAAATTTTTGTTTCTCTTCATGGCTTGCGACCGGTGCGACAAGCACGGTGCCCACACTGCATGGTATGCCCACACTGTATTGAATATTGAATTATTATTTATCTTGAATAATTATTATTTTTGGTTTATTTAAGCTTTGTTAATTTGTTTGCAGAAACCGTTTACGGTCTGCTGAATAAAGAGAGAAAATACGTACAAGTCTTCAACATCCTGGGACGAGTTATTCTACGGTGATGAAAATTTGATACGGAAGACGGCGAATAAATGCTACTGTAGAAGTCGCCTATATTTATATAATAATCCCGTTTAATATTTCTATGGAATTATTTCACTTCAAAACAATTAAATTTTATTTTTATTTTTTTTGTATTGTGTGCTCGCTCATGGCAAATACATTAAACAAATGTAAAATGATAAACAATGTTTACACAATCAACAATTCAATGAACAATTCAAACCCATTAGAATAAATAATTCAACAGATGGAAACAAACAGAATGAACAATATTCAAACCTATTATGATTTTTTCAAGAAATCTATATATTCTATAGAAATTTATATATTCTATATTCTAAGAAATCTATAGAAATCAATATCCTGCTGAAATAAAAATAACTATGGGACAAATTTTCATTTCTTTCTCTGTTATTTCAATTCCCGATCGCAAAAGGCAAGCATGCATATCTTTGCAGGTTCTTTTTCTTGCAGTCAAGGACTGTCTAGATAACCTCATTTCCATATCCCATTATCTCAATTTTCTTTACTTCTTTTAACTATAAATAACAAAATTCCTCAGCAATCATGTGAGCTCTTAAATGCGATGTTAGATGCATACAACATGATACATCTCTCACCAATAACAAAGGATAATACAATAACAAAAACTTCGTTCAACACGAAAGTTACAAGACCTTAACAGCGTCCGCTGATAAAGCAATGAGAGAAGTTCTCAGATCTTTAAAGTAATTGAAAGCTCACAAAAGTGGCCAAATTTCAGCCGCACTCACCTGATTGCGCTGCTGGTAAGTCGCCTTTGCTTTTTTGAGCGCATTGAGCGAGTCGGTGAGCCGCCGGTGTTCTCGATGCCACTGTTCTTTTATTAGCTTCCTGGAGCGCTCGTGCTCGCTGCGTCGACTTGCCAGAGGCTGCTCGGAGTTACAGCGATCTTATTAGCACATAGAAATACACCACGAAGAATGAATGGAAATACAAAGATAGGAAACGCCTAGCAAATACACCATATCTTCAATCCTCTCAATGGGTTCACTATTAAGTTTTTGATCTAAACGTCTACCGGGGTCTATCAAAGACAAAATTCAATGGAATTTATTCTGCGAAAAGACTTCTATCAACCAACTATAATGAGAGCGCCAGCAGGACCACATTTGCTGTTGCATTCTGCATGTATGAAAAATTTATTTCTTGCTTGTGTGATCGTATATCCCCCCTACGTTGCATATTGAAGGCAAGGACTACAAAAATTTGGCACGTTATTCAAGTTACTGTTTCCATGCGACATTTAGATAAGGGCATTTCGGAATGAATAAGGCAGGGTTTATAATAAACTGCTGGAAATTATCATGGTTCCATCAATACATATTTTCTAGCACTGCATTGTGATCAGGATCTCGCAACGAGAAGTTCACTAGTCAGAACTGTGCATAATACTATCCTAGTCAGACCGTGACTCGAAAAGGAATATGCCTTTTTTTACCAGTAGCTATTAAAACGCATGCTATGACATCCAACAGTTCCAAATTGCCAAGTACAGAAGCAAGGCATTTCCAAACGTAGGGCAAAGCAACAAGTCGATTTCAAACTCTCCCAGATTCGGACCCTAGCTATATAGTAACTCAGACACCGCAGCCTCAGTGCCATGAGTGCAAAATAGTCAATTCTCATGCAAATCCCAATCCCTCTACGTAATTCCTTACAAGGTGCGGGATGTATTGCTTTCTCAAAGACCATGAGATCACTGAGCTAATAACACAATTACTTCGTCTAGGACCCATATATAAACGGCTTTAAACATGGCATAATATTTATTTCAAAAAGGCTGTATGAAAATAAATCATGAAAAGCCCATATAATCATTAACGACAAATTTGAAGGTGATGCTTTTAAAGGGCTGAAGGTGTGGACATTAATCAGAAATACTTTACTTCGTAGCAAACAATCAATCTCTGCTAACAACGGATAATTCTATCGTTTGGCACATCACGATCAGCGAAACGAAATGATGCGACTCCATAAGACAGACCACCTAACAACAAGATATAACATTACTTATGCCAGAAAAGCCAGATAAGCTTGAGCACTAGTAGCAGTTACTAGTCTGAATAAGTAATTAATAGTAGAGAAGTCTAACCTCGATGAATGCAGCTGCCTTAAGCCTTGAGTAGGTGGCTTCAACCTCAGCACAGTAGCCCTGGTCCTGTTCCAGTGCTGTGATGTACACGGCTTGCAGCGGCAAGAAGTTCTGTAAGTAACATTAGTGTATTTGGGGTTAATTTTCGTGCGTGCAGGAATAACACGTGGAGATTAAGCGGAGCCATTACCCGCCCTCTGCCTCGACACAAACAACTTAAGAAAATTGGAACTGAAATGAACCTTGATGCCCTGAGCCGAAATATCGAGGGTATTCCGTTTTTAGAGGTGCCTTAGTTTGCCTCTGCTCTCTCTGATTTGTTTAGAAGAAATTGTGCGGATAAGGTAATAAAAGCCAAATAGATAGTATCTATTTCACAATTTCTGAACATTCTGGGTCATCAAAAATTTCAACTTTTATGATCTATTTTTCATTTGTGTTTTCGAGAGAACTTCAAGTACAATCTAGCAAAAAGTGAAGTGAGCTTCAGATGCATTTATATCTTCAAACCCCACATTTGTAATTGATCAACTGGACTAGATTCTAGATCATTATTATTATTTAACATGTCATTCATAAAAAAATTTATGCATGATGATGGAACAAGCTATTGCAGAGAAAACTAATTTTTGGTAGAAATAAGGAACTTCAGTTGGTTGTGGATAATCAAATTCGATGAGAGGCAACCAGTGCACCTGATGAGAGGCTTTTCGACTCAATACAGCCTGATGATCAACAGCTTTGATCCGGCAGCATCAGAGTCAAAGTTGAAGCAGCTGACATGGCGATAAACTCAATATGAGTATGTTAATCCAATTTCTCGCCTTCAAACTTACGACGACAACTCTACAGAACAAATTTCTATGTTTATTTGTTTTGCATGTCATGTTATATTTTGAATTCTAATGAAGCATTTCAATTATTTGGTTAAGAAAAATACTGTGGGTAACCAAATAAGAATTAGAACTGAATTCACTGACTCTTTACAACTGTTTTCCATAACCAACCATCAAAAGTTACAAAATACAAAACGTTTTATAGGCTTTGTGGCATGCACTAATGCTCAATTTCATCATTTCTTCCGGTAATCCAAACAGATACGTGCTTGAATCTACAGATAATATACATATTTATACTAAGAATTATCGTTGAGCATAGTAGCTTCTGAAGTTGCAATCTCAATCCAAGTGTATGATTGAAATTACAGCGGACGTAAGAATTTCAGATGAAAATGGATTTAGAACAATAAATGGAGTCAGCGTATAACTGGACACTCAATACATCCATTTTCACTTTCATACCGAATCAACTTTCCCTACTTTAAATTATATTTATTTTCCACTTATGTAGGCCTAATTTAATTAAATAAATTAAAGTTTTAATGGTATATCAATTCGCAGCATTGCTTGATTTTGTATGCTATCTGCCCAATTATTGACTGCACATAAATTCGGTCAACGAAATAACAAAGTTTTAAAACCATCAGCAGTGACCTTTACTCGAGAGCATTTTATGTTTTGCTCATAAATTTCATGTTTTGCCTATCATATACCTTGCAACTTCAGCTATGAATATCTCTCTTTTTAAATAGCCTTGAATTGGACGAAATTTAGGACAACCTAAATAATATCATTTATGTACTCAGGGCCACGAGGCAAGGCTGAACATTGACAAGGCCATGACCAAAAAAAGCACTGGCATTCAATATAATAAATAGAAGTACTGATGAAAAATTTCTCTCTAATTGGGAAAAGTACTACGTGGCAGGTGATAAATTATTTCTCCTACGAATTATTTCTTTGCGCGAGTCTCAAACGAGGTTTTTTATATGAATATGATTGCCTTGCATATGATTGCCATGAATATGGTTGTTATGAATATGATTGCCATGAATATGATTGCCATGAATATGATTGCCATGCATATGATTGCCATGAATATGATTGCCATGAATATGATTGCCATGAACATATGATTGCCATGAATATGATTGCCATGAATATGATTGCCATGAATATGATTGCCATGAATATGATTGCCATGAATATGATTGCCATGAATATGATTGCCATATGAGAATAATGATCTTCCAGCAGGGCATATTTCCCAATAATATGCTGTGAAGATACTGAAGTCTAGCGTATTGTACAGATGTTTTTAGCTGATAAGTTCTGAAATTATAGCAAACATTCTTTCCTAGTAATATTGTGCGATGGCATTCCCGTCTCATGTGTTTTATAGTCATTTTAAGACGCATTTCCAGAAATAATAGCCAGATATTTAAGGTATTTCCCACAGTAAAATGATGTGATGTTGTTCAGGAGTGTACCGACCTCCTCCTTGAGGGCAGGGAGCGTGGACCTCGCTAGCTTAGCCAGCGCCTTGGCGTGCTCCAGGTGGCAGATGGCGCGCTGCTCCACGTACGTCAGGATGTCCTTAGCATATTTGCTCCAGAGCTTGGCGCGGTGCAGGCACAACTCCACACCTGCCATACGTCAAGGAAAATCATAATAATATTAATTATTCACTATAATATTATTATGTATGATATTATTATGCCACATATGATGCTTTCTTCTTCTGATTCTTCTGATTCTCGGATCACAATTTGCAACATTCATGGGTCGATTTATATTCCCTAACATTCGCACGTTCTTCACTGTGGATTTTTATGAAAGCTATATAAATATATATTCGTTTTGAAGATTTTGCTTTCCATCTGTAATTATGTTCTGTTCCATCTGAATATTTGCTTCTGTAGTAAGCTGGAAATTCAGTCGAACTTTCCAACTTTCAATAACAAACCAGCCAATGAGAGCAGCCAAAACATAAAGTCCCAGACAATTCCAAACGGCAAATGACAGAACTTGCTAAATTTTGCAGTCAGACCAAACTTAACAATTTTCAAGATGTTATTCCTTTAGTTAGGATAAAGGCGATCTGCCTTATATCCCGAGGTAACACAAACTCAGCCTATCATTGCGATCCACGGAATACAGAGTCACCATGATAATCACGATGAAAGTAACATATACTCGCCACTATCATTTAGTTTCAAGGACTAAAACTCACCATTATTGTCGTAGTTCTGACAACACGTACTCACCATTATCATCGTGGTTCTGGCAACACGCACTCACCATTATCAGCGTTGTTCTGGCAACACGCACTCACCATTATCAGCGTTGTTCTGACAACACGCACTCACCATTATCAGCGTTGTTCTGACAACACGCACTCACCATTATCAGCGTTGTTCTGGCAGCACGCACTCACCATTATCAGCGTTGTTCTGGCAACACGCACTCACCATTATCATCGTGGTTCTGGCAACACGCACTCACCATTATCATCGTGGTTCTGGCAACACGTACTCACCATTATTGTCGTGGTTATGACAACACGACTCACCATTATCATCGTGGTTATGACAACACGCACTCACCATTATCATGACGATGTAGGATGTCGTCCATGCTGGGAGGAGAAAGGTTCTCGTTGTCCAGCAGTGGCGCCGCCGTCTCAGGCAGCGCGCCCATCGTTGCTTCTGCATCGTGGTGCGCATCTGCAGCCTGAGAGAGAATATGTCGCATGTTTAAGCAATTTTACTGATGCGTTAAACTCATATGGCCTTACGGCCGGAAACCATATTTAAAACTCTGGCCACTGCATATCTTCCCTAGAGCGAAACCACCCCTGATCGTTTTTTTTACAGCATGTGTACAGCCAAATAAAATTCTATGCGTTAGTGGAGTATCCGTGCTATAAGTGGTGTACGGTTCGTAGAGGGCAGCCAAGCAGGTGTGGCTTGGGTATACTCGTATCTTCCCAACGCAGTCCATGTTTCCATCCCGACCCGCGGTATTAAGTGTAACATAATTTCATTAAAAAATTAAATTTGTGGGAATGGGGAAGTCACCGTCTGGTAAAAACTTAAAGATGCCGGACATCAATAACTCTCAATTAAGTAGCGGTCATTAAGGCAGATTTATTATCTACATGAGTGAAATGCAAAAAGAATAGAAATAAAATTGTAGCTGCAGCTTTTACGCCTAGCGCGTAGCTTTTGTTTGTAGCAGATAAGGTCCTCATTGCGCCACAAAATGTCTTATTCTTAGTCCTGACGCCGGCTGCTGTGATGGGCGTGAGACACAAGACTCCAGGCTAGTTCTTAGATGTAATTATACTGTTGAATTTCATGTAATAATGTTCCGGTTATTTTCAGACCTAAGCCAAGCAATATCAACCCCCTGTAATCAGACAGCGTATTCAGTATAGCATCCGATATCCTGTTAATTGTGGTTTTTCAAGTTCTTAAAGTTTGCTTCATCTACAAAGTTTGATTACTTGTGTGAATTACACTCCTGGTCAGTTTATACTTGAAGACCATAGCTAGAATGGTACGTAAACACTCTAGACCCTAGACTGCAAGTCAGGGGTTACAATAATCCTGTGCTACTTTGTTAATTTCCGGATCCTAATTATCACCGTTGTCAATTTAGTCTGCCATCAGCCGCATTTTGTGTGCGCGTTGTGCAACAATATAATCAATATATAATCTCAACCAATGTAAAGCCCTCACGAGATCCGTGCATTTGCTGTTAAACTCAGTGACAAACTACGCAAATCTGTCCATTATTGAATCCCGGTAGCCGCTTCACAAATCCGGGAGCGAACTCGCTTTTTCGAACTCTGCATATGTGGTGATCCTGATAAAAGTTTGATGCCGTTTGCCAGCAATTCAAATGCGCCACGGGTGATCGAATGCGTATTACAGGCGTTAACTTCAGCAATTTTGGCAAAAATGTTTTTTAATAATTGTTCGACTGTTGAAGGTTGATACGAGTGGCTCTAAACGTTAAACGATATTAAATATTCCCAAGAAAAATACAATTTGGTTGCTATGGTCTGGACAATGATGAACACAATTTTGGTTCCTAAATTTGCAATTTAAAGAAAAAGATTTTAAGGGTTTTCTCAGTCTGCTTAAATTTCTTCTCCTGCGATCCAGAACTGTACAGTCAAAATAAGGCTAAGCGGTGACCGACGGCGGATCCACTGATGAGGGAAAGCAGTGTGGGAAATGGAACCAACCATACATGTACATGCTTCATGATTCTTGCATATGACTGCACGCGCCCCGCTGGATAACTTTTATACCTTAATTTGGTTGATTTTCCCCGAGATTGAAACGCACAGCATAGCTTGATGAATGCAAATAAATTCGAAAGCATATAGATATTTGGAATACAGTCGGATCTGGCGCATTCTTATCAAAGATTGTGCGGCAGCGACGAGGCTGATAGCACTACAGCTAGTGGTTGCAGGAAAATTGGCATATAACATATTTCTACATTATGAACTTTTAGACCGAATATCACATGTATGTAGATTGATTATTCAATTTATACTAACAGGATAATGAGGATATGAAGTAAAATTAAATAAAAAATTCACTTCCTTGAAAGGACTTATTTCCGGTGGCTCTTCTACGTAAATAATTACGCTCTTGAGATGTATTATATCCAGGTACAATTTTTTTAGCATATTACTAGCATGAATATCCTGCAGAGAAACAATGCAAATGAAGATGAAATTTCAATTCTAGGTTCCACAACAATGGTGACTGTTGGAGGATCGGGCGATGCGAGCCTTCAAGTCGGATTCAATACAAATGAAATATCGAATTTATTCGACGGATGATTGCAAACATCGAACTAATATTTGCGACTTCGTCTTGAACATGAGCCACCTACCATGAAGTTTTTTTACTTGTTTTTATAAAGTTTCATGATATGACTCACAAAGTCTGTGATTCATGTCGGGTGTCGGACATTCATAAAGAAATTCAAACCCCGAAATTTTCTAATTTGAAACAAAAGAATCTACTAACATGCAAGTCTCAATAAAAGATTTGAAAATATAAAATTACCTAACAGTATCTGTGAAGTATAGTTCCACGTACTGGAAGCTGTCTCCTGCGTGATAAAAATGTAAGTTTTCAGACCAGATCATGCCAATAGACCGTCGCAGACTCTAAGCTGCCCTCGCAACTCGCAGCCTCCTGACAAATCTCTCGACTCAAATATCAGCGCCTAAAATAACAGCGCTCTCTCGGAAGCTCAGGCGCAAATAAAAGCATGATAGGCTGCACATCAAACAGACGACGGCACTTTGCCCAGACCCTAGGAGCCTCAAATTGAGCGCGGATCGACTGGAGTGTCAACAGGATCTATGTTAAACTGAATTATTATGGTTCTGTGCAATAGCTTCATGAGGGAAAATTATGTATACAGCAAGGTGATAAAAATTCCACATGCTTTTTATGCACTTATGAGTTTATGGTCAATCATCTTGAAAAACTTTAACAAAATGGCCAAAATTATTTACAATCTTTTTGAAAATACCAAAGTGCTGCTTGGAGATAAATAAATTAACTACTGTGCGGATGGGGAAGGCAGTTTTCGTTTATGATTACAATGCGGCTTATGCTGTGATTTATTCCTTTTAAATTATTACTATTTAAATAAAGTAAAATTTAAATTAAATAATATTTGTAATTATTATAAAATTAAAATTTTTGTTTTGATAATTAAAAATTTTATTTTGTGTTCAATCTGAGCCATCGTTGAAGCTTAAGTGAAGCAAGAAGAATGACTGTAAATACGGCTCGACTCGAGTGAAATTTAGCAGCTGAATTTTGATTGACAAGGACTTTGATTTATGAGTTTATTTTTATATTTTTCTGTTAAACTTTGTACTAAATAACGTTTAATAATATTCTGTAATTGAAAAAAAATTATCATAATATGACCGAGGTACTGAACTCGCGCCACTGCCACGCATCAGCCACTGTTGGCATGCTTCAAGGCTTGACGTATGTATAGTCTCGGTGATACTTATCATGAATTTCAAAATTGATCACTCTAAAAAACAGCTAATTTTCTTCTGGCAAAGCGTTCGAAACGTTTGACGAAATATTTCCAACTTTCTAATCTCTGACGTGATTTGACAATCACGACCGAAACTTTGTAATCATTATTAAACTCAAAATTAAGCCGGTTCTGCCAGTTTGGTGCAACCCTGCTTTGACGCATATCGTGTAGCATTTGTTCATCTTAGTAGTTTTCAGTATCGCACAGTCACCGCGTGTCACTTTTGACCTCGACGCTTTTCAGTACAAGACGGTGTGGAGAAGCTTGACATATGTTTATTTTCATATTTTTAAACTACCTTGTCTGATTCAAATTGTACTAGGATTTATTACTATACGTAATGGTCTCTTCTACTTTTGCAGACCAAGAGTTTCAACTTGTGGCCGCGGCAGTGGTTTTGGGCCCATGACTGTGGCTGTGGTTGGCGAACATTTGTTTCTGTTTATAGGAATAAAATTTTCGGTGTTCAGTTACAAAAGTTTCATTGGCCATGTATTTGTTTGAGTCAAATAGGCGAGAAACGTGAAGACCGTCGCATAGGATGGTTAAGAAACCAGGATTTAAAGGCTACACAAAGAATGAATTCAAGATTATTTGATGAAAATTCCATCGTACAAAATTGTACGATGTAAATTTAAGATGTACGACATCTTAAATTGTAGTTCATCTCTAAAAATTATAATTGTATTCATAAATGTGTATTCATAAATTCGAATATAGAATATGAATGGAAAAATTTTGCGATGACTCGCTCATTTCTTCATTCGAGAATTAGGGTGAAAAGTTTCAAGCTTTTTCATTGTTTGTTCTCACGCGGCTTGTTTGTGCGCGTCTTTAAAATGTCAGCGCCAAGTTTTCCTCGCACAAGAGGAAAAACATCTCTGGAATTTTGAGCCTGTTCTTGCTGTGTAACACGTTCTTGAGATTGGCAGAGTAGAATTAGTAATTTGTATTATCTAATAGTTTTCAAATGAACCTAATAAATCGTTTGCAGTTCGAAGTAAGAAAATCGTGCGAGCTTCTGGATAAATTATTCATATTACATTTACGGTGAAGTGAAATTGAATTGAAATGAGCAAAGGGGAAAGATTATTACCTCTGACTCAGTTTTTGCAATTGGTTTCTACCTTCATTCGGTCATATAATATAATTGTTGAATAATTTTTATCCCTATTTTTTATCCATGTGTATTTTTACCCCGATATTTTGTCCCAGTGACTGCTTTGGGCAGTAAATTAGACCAGTGTTTGCCTTACCTTATGATTGAATGATGAACCTCATATGCCCGCAGAATTAGGCTTTCATCAGCAGCGTAAACAAAGGCTCGTCTACGCCAAAAATCATGTAATTTTACGAGAAAACCAAACATTCAAGTAGGAAAAATAACCGCGACTTATATATTCAAACTGCTTAGAAATATTTGCCTTCGGTTAAAGCGAATTAATAGCGTTACAACTATAGCGGTAATTTTCTCATTTCACTTACATTTTTAGACATAAAGTGAGTATAATTATTTTTTACCATTCATTAATGAATCGGATAAGAGGTTGAATAATAATAATAACTAGTAATTAATTAATAAGAAAGATAGATCGTGATAGATCTAACGATCTAACTTAGTTAAAGAGATCATTAGAAAGATAGAAAGTATTATTAGAAAGTACCCACCGCCTGATGCCGGGCTGGTGAGCTGAAGCTGCCAGCGGGGTGCGCCGTGTCGATGTCGCCCATGAGGTACTCAGACACCCTGCCGACAACAAGGTACGGTTCTTGAAAATTATGCAAATGGATTAAGTAAAATATGTAATAAAAAACTTGGTAATTGCAGAGTTTTGATAACAAAAATAAAAACATTCAACGATAACCAAACTTTGAATGTTAAGTTACCAATAACTAGCAGGTAAACAATGCATCGCTCTGTTGGTAATGTACGTAGCGGGGGTGCCCTCTACAGTACAGCTTAAACATGGCGTCGCCATTAAATAGACTCATTATGGACGACGCAAGCTTGACATTTCAGTTACCAAAACATTTATGGTCGCGAACTATTTTAATAGCACATGTCAAATAAAGGGGAATGAACCAAATTAACTTGGCATGCAGTAAAGTAAAATAACCATGCAAAATAGGCTCCATGGTTAAGAAAAGTTTTAGAATACAAATTTTCATTAAGGTTCATCGACATCAATAACTTTATCCGAGAAGAATTCAAGATTATTTCCTTTTTTTTTGCTCGTGTGCCAATCTATTGATTGTCACACGCATTGACAGAAGCCGACTCAACGATACTACCAAGTTTGTTTAAGTGTACGTCGTATAGAGCAACCAACTTCCTTTGTGTAAAGAAGAACTTTCAACTCTGGTGAAATAAGAAAGGGCAATCAAGTTCACTTTAGTCAAGAATAGCACAGATTAAATTCTCCTTGTGAAGTGGATGGTTTAAGTGATGTAAATTTATAGATTTTGAACTTGCCCGTTTTAGGATGTGCACTTGCTTCTCACTAGAGTTTTCCAAAATGTCTATAGTATTTCATCCAAACCATCGATGTTTGTTTTGTAGGATTTTTCTGTTTCGCGAAGTAGAGAGCTTATAAAGTCGCCTTTGGCGCTAAACGGATGGTACCAAATGAAAATAACAATTGAGAACTACAATAGCAATTAAATAGATTTTCTTATCCAACAATAGCTTTGCACTATTTATAGTTCAATGATGGTCACTCGTTTCTCCGACAGCAGAAATACTGAAATGATATTGAGCAATATATTCGTTTCATTGTGTCGATAAAATAATGCGAATCGAGACTCCTTCTTTATAATTCTATTAACAATGCCTAGCCTGACCATTTCTGGGCATTTACCCTATTGCTTGTGATACCATCGAGTTTCTGCAATTTGTTCTACTCTGCTCCCAAATCGTTATACTCTTACTATTAAGGCACTCAGCAAAGCACTCAGTAAAGCAACCAATCCTCAAATGCTCGTTGCATCAAAGGCAGGGCTTTTTCCCTCCCAAAAACTATCAATGTTCATAAACTGCTGCACTTTATTTTTGACTGGAATCAGTCATGTACATTCCAATTACAACTTCCGGCCATGTGGCAATCGAGAGATAATCGACTCATAATCGGCTGCGCATGCAGCTTGCATATTTGTAGCTTCTTCGTGCCTGCATTACAACTGCATACTGATGGATGAGACTGCTGTACTTCCTGCCAATTGTGCGCGAAAAATTAACTGAAGGTAGATAACTTATGCAATAAATAGGGGGATTGGAAATTTATATTGATCACGGAAGTTACTGTAGTTCATTTGAAAGTCCAATAATCTAATGTGGTTTGTATCGTTACAATTGCAAACACCCAGTACTACTAAACTTGATGTTTAGCACTAACCGTAGAAAAACGCTAACGGAAGCCCTAGCCGATCCTATGTTTCTCGCGAAATGTTTCGTCCCTCTATGCCTTAATTTTTTAATGAAAGCAATAGCCATACTTACTTCCTGTTTATGTTTAATGCTGCACAGGGTTAAAAATCAGAAAGAAACTTCACTAATAAATTTTCAGCGCACTCACCTAATCATCATCTTAGGTTTAGAAAGACTGTACTTCTTCATGGCGCTCCACTGACAATAAAAACGCGATGATTTCAACGAATAATGTCACAATTTTGTCTCAGGACAAATTAGTCATATTTGGTCAGCACCGTCAAGCTTTCGTTTGCCGTTCACATGACGCCGCAAGCATTATAATTTAATCGCTTATAGTTCTTTCGTTCTTAAACTTAACAATATGAAAGCTATAAAATACTTGAAGCCGAATATTTAGTTCTCCATATTAATCTTTCAGAATTTTATACCCGGGCCTGAGTCACGTTAGATATATGAACTTCAATATTAATTTTTCCCGTGAATTAATCTCGTTATTTATTATGTATCAAAAGTTAAAACACAATTATAAGTCTTTATGGCGAAGCATTATTTCAGATTTACTAGCACAAAATAGAGTTTAACTAAAAGAGCGATAAGTTTCTTCACTGCCCAGACGAGATGGGCGGTCGACACAGCTATGGTGAGAACTAACCTGCGACACACAATAGCCTACATAGATTGTATAATGATAACATTTCAGTGTTGAACTCAGCGATAAGATTACCTCAATCATGCATTCTAGGAGGCGGAGCGTATACAAGTGTAGCTATCAAGCGTTTACCGTCATGTCAAATCTGAATTAATGACTGATAAGCTGACTGCGGTGCCGGAAGCACGTTAAGCCACAAAAAATAAATTGCGTTCTAGCTACACTACGGTCCTCCATGATGATAAAATATGCGGAATTTTTATATTCACTGCAATGATCATTTGATAATGCTGAAAGAGTATCACTGTAATGGCAATATACAAACAAAAATTTAATAGAGTGCGTAGCTCAAACGAAACCCATTCGTTCTGATTGGGTAGATAATAATATCCTGTCTGATGCATTGTCTGATAACCTTGTCATTTGACAGACATAAATTGCTGCAATAAGGAGAATACTAGGAAATTTGAATGAATAAACAATCACTTTACTCTCATATTCAATGCAGTTATATATTTATTAAGAAAAATAACATTTTATTTCTTCGTGTTATTTTGAGAACACCTACTATCATAGAGATGCCAAAAAATTAATCTTAAATTTCAAAATTATTATCATGAATTCGAATATGTTTGCAGCTTAGCCGTAAGTTGGTTTAATTATTATATGTTAATGTTAGTAAACATAAAAATGTAGTAAATATTATTTTGAAATTTCGTAAAATCTATTTGTTGAAATCTTAGCCAGAGTTTAGTAACGAGCAATTTCATAGGTACGAAAATGAACCTGACTATCGCTTTAACAATATAAATTGACTCAGAGACATTCTTTTACAGAATTTTTCAACATTCTCCAAGTCCTTCAGATAGAGAAGAAAAGGCTGGCTTTTCGACTTGCCACGACCGTTGGACATTCCGAAAAGTTTCGTAAGTTCGAAGAATGCTTTACGAGCGTGGCCTAAGTTTCGAAATTACTCCGGACGGAAGCTGTCAAACGTGCAGCGAAAGTCGCGGTTCTTAACACTGGTATATACAGGACGCTGGACACATGCGATGTTACCTCATTAATATACGTGTCAGAAAATTTCATAGAACGCAATTTAATTTTTCCCTGTGTTCCAAAATTATAATTTCTATTCTCTCAAGGCATATGAGTAAACCCTCTAAATAACGAATTTGTATAAAATAATTAACGCTTTAATTCATGCATATCGATAATCCGACCGTTTTAATTCGTTCCATGATGGTTGCATGTGTTTTTCCCTGCATGATATTTTGGTTTTCTAGAAGACTTCTCGAATTTTGACGTGGTCCAAACTGAAATTCTTCCCGTGCAATTATTTTGGCCCCAGTTAATAGAATCCGCGAAGAAAACGTTAATCACCTCATGAGATAAGACACAAGGGATCAATAACTTACATAATGCATGAACAAAGGCCTTAATCGTTAGTAATACGGGATCGATATTTTGCCTTCTAAGTATGAGGATACTGACTCTGTGTCAGTAAATTAAAAACGGAAAGGAAATAAAACGTAGTATCATGCAGTGCATTAGTAGAAAGAATTTAGTTTGATAAATTTAGTAAAGTTCCCGAATTAGTAAAGACACTGAATTTTTCATTTTTATCGCCTGAATAATTTTTTATTCACATGAGTGTGCTTGTTCAGAAAGAAATTGAATCTGGATCATGAATAGATAGCACACCAGCTTTGTAACAACTGTTGCAAATAGTGACCGGATTATCTCGTGTTGTAGGAGGCAATTTTTTTTTGAGTGAACAGTACCTGTCTAGAAATTTTCTGTGCCCTGAAATTGTTCGCGTACCACCATGGATGGAAAGTCCTCACATGGCACAGTATTGGTACTCTCGTAATTTGTGATAGGTACAACAATTTGTATTAGAAGTGTCCTGTCTTTCTTCTTAGGAAGGTCAGAAACCACGCCTTTGTTTCCTTCACTGAAATTCAACTTCGAACCTGTTAACCGTTACTTGAACTCTGCATTAGGTGCGAGACATTGTTCTGCTCTCGTATGAAGTCCCACGCGCGGAAAAACACTCTCTGGAGCATGCAAATCTAGCTCGTCCGGGAATTCATAAACTCAAATTAAGAATCCGCGGAGTCAGCCAGCACCTGATCCTATGGGTTGTTATTATTTTTATTAAATTCACTTTCTCTGGGCTTTGCGAAAGTTGTTTGAAATAAATAATAAAAATTATTCATTAAAAAAAGTTGACTTTTTCGCGCAGTTATTGACGATAGCTTGCTTGAAGAGTTTCGCGTTTTCGTGCTATAAAATTTCTTAGCACGAAAACAAGAAGAAGTTCTGTGAAAGTGCAAAGAAAATTAAATAAATTATTGTACATATAAATTTTTTTCTTTCCTTCTTCGCAGTGATTTTGTACCCTCGATGGCTCATGGACGTGCTCCACATTTGCATTTCAAAAAATACATAAGCATGCATTCACTAGGATTGGGCATATCAGCTGTTATCGAATGTTATGTCGTGCAGTTGATATAATTTCAATTCAGGAATTTATGGAAATTCAGTCTAGTCAGTTGCTCACTAGATTTATCGGTGGATGTTTAAAAACGTCTAGCATTAGAAATAAAGATGATCATTACGATATTCCCATATAACGAGGCCTGCATGGCATTATGTCTGGATTCTGCGGCCTAGGCTGGACCAGAACTTTTTCATTAGGTAGCAGCCGACAAAAATGTTGCATGAATATATCACAGAAACTGCATGAATCTTAATGGGATGAATTTCAAAATCGCTCGATATGGAATAGATTTGTCAACATTACCTTGGAAATTCAACTAATGCTAATTGCCTATAATATATTACGTTAGGGTAAAATCTTTTATTTAATCTTACTTCGATGCATCGGAAGGGCTGGCTTGTTACTGATTTAAATCATTAAAGCACTTCGTATTATTAATAAAGAAGATGGTTGCCTAAGCCTCAAGCGATGTAAAACATTGTTTGAGGAACTCCCTAAAATAATACGCGGGAACTCGCTCCCGTAATCATAAAATTTACAGCCCGTCGCGATAATTCATACCTGAACTCGAATAATATCCGTTCGTGATAATCTTCAGCCTTGACTTACACTGCTTTAGTGGCTGTCAAGGACATCGATTACATAAGTCGTAAATTCTTAACCCACTGCTATGCGATAAAAGCATAATATCAGGATCAGAGCCATGAAAGGAAACTACAGGATGATTCACGAATACTTCCGGTTTTGTATTTCGCGCCAAGCAGCCAAATGTTGCAGTACTTAATATGAAAGGCAAGATCATGAAGTTTTGTGTCCCGCCTATAGTCAGTTTGCCTATGCATTGGAAATTGAGCAGCGTGCGTTTGCTGTCGGCGCGTACTTTCTAATGGCCGTTCAATTATCGCTACTGAACGAGTTATCCGTAGTCGGTTCCGTATTCGTCCTTCAGGTCGGGTTCCTGACCGAAATCCGGTACACGCAAATGATTGATCCTTTTTTGCCAAAACTGGCTGAAATGAATGTAAGGAGTCTGGTTCAACAGGATGGAGCCACGGCCCACACAGCGCTATGTTCAATGCATCTTCTGAGACAACATTTTGCAGAGCGCCTCATCTCCTTGAGAGGCGACCTTCTTTGGTCGGCCCCATTTCCCGATTTGGCTTCATGTGATTTATTATGGGGTTATCTCAAATCAATTGTTTACAATGACTGTCCAAGGACCCTACCTCATTTGAAGAACAATATATGCCATGCCATCACCAACATACCCGTCAATAAGCTTCAGCGAGTTAGACGCAACTTCAAAAATCGACTAACTGAATGCATTGGCAATGGGCCGTTGTTTGTCCGATGTTATCTCGAAAACATAAGTGATACAAAAATTAATTGATGTGCTTTTCAATAAAATTTATGTTGAAATTATATCTTTACCAGCTTTTTTATTGAGCTTTTAAAATCCGGAAGTTTCCGTGAATAACCTCTGTACTTGATATGACTATTGTTTAGTAGCGGCAGTGATGTTATAGAACGTGTGAATTAAACCACAACACTGACAAACAGCTTACTTAACTATCAATCATGCAGGATAGATAGTGAAGCCTATTCACCACATTGTTAATTTACTGGCCTAAAATTCTGTTCGCCAGATTGCTTAAATTGATGATGAGTTCTTCCTGAACTATATTATTCACTAGAATATTCGTCTAAAAATGCCAAACGTTCAACGTGCGTTAAATTCCTTCTTTCAGGTGCTAATTGTTTTCTGGCTAAGAAAACCCTCGAGTCATAATTGCAAGCTGAAATTTCTTAACCGTAAGCATACAATGAAAGCTAGCAATGTGAAATTTACAGATAACAGGATAAAATCATAAATTGCGTTTGCAAACAAAGCGTAAATTAATTCAGTTTTCTTCCTCCAGATAAACTAGAACCTTTGGTTTAAGCTTATTTTGGTGACCACCGCAGGCGCCACACAGGAAACACAAATTGTTTTCCAAAATTTAATTAAAACAGTTTTGTGTGGGTGAAGTTACACAAGCCCGAATACTACGTTGAATTCCAGTTTCCCGGAATGCTCCCAACACACTATGAACAATTTCTTTTAATAAAAGAAATATCCCCAGTCCGAGTAGATCCTGACTATTTCCTGACACGAAAGAAAGGAATAACCAACATGAACTAATTTCAGTACCCGAAGCAAACCAACTAACAGGATATCGATTTTGCAATAGCGAAATGCGGGCGTGATCCAGACCAAAACCCAGATGCTTACCATTGAAAAGAAATATATTCTATTATTCGACATTCACATATAAGTCGACTAGTGAATTTATTTCATCTTTGCGGTTTGGAAAACATTGGCACAAAGTCAAGTTAGATTCTGCCTATAAATCTTGTAGTTGCTGAAAATGGAAGAACATATACCAAAATTTTAATTCGATCACGTTGATGCTTTTTTCCATAATAATTCAATAGAAATTTGAATGTATTATTGAATTCTATGAGAAGCAATGCATCCATGAATGACAGCGGTCACATACAGGTTGGTTCCAGCGCTGCAACGGTGAATTTAGGAATTTATTGCTGGAAGATAAATTTTATGCTTAGTGAAGTTCTGCATTCCAAAGCATCAACGATTCAATGTTAAAACAGAATCAAGGAATAATAAAGAAGCATTTGAATTAATTAACTATCAGACCATTTGTTAGTCGAGGTTTGAAGAGGCTATGTGATTCATAGCTTGGTAGTGGTGGTGGTTTAATCGGTTATGGGAATGAAGAGGATTCATAGTTTTGCTGCAGCTATGTTCATTCAGAGTCACATAACTCGCTATCTCTGGAAAAAAAGGTATGAACTTCAATGCCCACGTCGCACCACAGCGTGCGTAGCCCTGAGAACCATCATACACGCTGCATATAACTAATGATCGCGAGCATAAATGCTTTTATATATTTTTGTTGTGTTTTGATGTTTTCAAAGCGTATGTTTTGTTTTATAAGCCGCTTCTAACAGGAAGCAATCGATTTTAATGACAGATAAAATTATCTCAAGATAATTTAAATGGTTGATAGCTTAAGAGTTGTAAGTTTTATATTCACATCACAAGAGCTGAAAAAAATAAATAATAAATTCAGGTTAGACAGCACTAACAATAGACACACTGTGGAAATTTCTGCAGGCACTGCATGAAGGACATGATAAAGCATACCAGTCCTGCTTGCAGTTTGGCACTATGCATCTCTCTAATGGGTCTCTATTGTTTCAGTCGGATTCGCCGCCCTGAGCACCACCCTGCAGTTTGGCAGCCTATATACTCGAAGTCACTTGCAACTCAAAGCTTGTAAAAGCGGACGCAAGTTGTCGGCTCTCAGCTGCACCTCACCGTAACTATGATGGTAGCGCTGCTGTTCGGCGTTAGCGTTGACATGAAACGGCGCAAACGCGGCAGATAATTTCTCACTTGATTTGGCTTATAACTTTAATTCGGTTCTCAGACTAAATAAAAAAGCAATTTATTTATAGATTTTGTCGATTTTCCAAAGAGAACTTCTGTGTCTGCTTTAGAGTATCGGAGTTGATGATGCTCCATGAGTTCAAGTAATGGAGACGGAAACAATTGCCAACAAAAATAACAAAATATTAATTTGCATGAATAGCAATAATCGAAAATAAGTATTTTTATAACACCAATAAAATCCTGCGAACAATATAATCCCTTGTAATAATTAATATATAACTATGATAATCAAGTTATTATGAATATTCCCTTTTTTAAATAAAGCATAAATAGAGTGATTTATCTCGTAGTTAAGTCATATGCTGCCACTTCCGCACTCGGCGTCATATCTTTTACGGAAGTTTTTAATGCAGGCTGCAGACGCCCTAGAAGATTATGATTTTTGACCCTTAGTCTGCACTATATTATAAGAATATTGGTTCTATGGATGACATACAACGTAATTAAGTGTACATCCACGCTCAAACGTGAATCGTTTTATTTCAATCCTCATGTTCTGATGGAAACATCTACCCTCTTCAATTCGGATACATTCATCACAGCACCGAAAAATGCTTGAATTTTAATCTCAAAAGATGACTGAAGACCACTTCATATTTTGATGGATTTCTTCAAATTAGAACCTATATCTATGAAGCACAGTGTGCATATTTTAAAGAACAAAATTAATTTGAAGTATTCGAACGATCAGCTATAACTTGTCTAATAAAAATAAATGCTGTCTCTGGCACGGTAAATTTTAATATAGCGCACATAGACTTGGTGCTCGCGCTGCAGCTCACCTGCTAGAGAACGCCAGAGCGAGCTGATCAATCGACTCCAAGAAAAGCCCCGGATCAGCTCTCTCATCCTCGTACTTGAAATCTGAAAAAAGAAATACAGCGACTTTTATGTTCAGTGAAATGTGGTAGCCTGAACTTCTTTGTGGTCATTTTCAAAAAATCGTAACATATTTATGCTTGGAATTAATGAACATCCTCAGAACAATTTTCTTGCTGCGATCAAAATATTTGAATTGTATGCTCTAGAATCTAGATGAAGGGAAATCAAGATATAAATTCATATGAACAGTTATTAATGTCCTTAAAGTCGGGAATGGTAAATATTAGTAACATGTATGAGGTTTATATTTCATGGTCTTGACCATGCAAAAGATGACTTTCAAATCACAATGCCATCTGTCAAGTTCGATTTTCCCTCCAATATCCGAATCTCTCGATGAAGTGCCAATCCTGTATAAGGCGGACAAAATTATCCCTAAAAAGGCACTCAAAATTTACTTTTAATAAAAATGTTCATTCGCTCTGTACGCCATACGGCGTGAATATTAAAATTTAGAACGATGCGTGAAGTTAAAGGAACAGAGTTTATAATAATAATAATTGCCAGCAAATGTAGCGTTTAATGCTTCTACATTGTCAAATTATCTTAAGATTATAGGCATACGTATTCATTCTTTATCCCGAATAACCCTTGGTGATAGTGAGGCAAATATCGAAGATATGTGCGGAATGAAGGCACCGGCCTCCTCATTTGTTGTTTGTTGTCGCGTCACCGAAGACGTTTGTCTCAGCGACGGCTTTATTGCAGACGGAAAGATTGCCACTAGGCTCCATAGGCCCCGACGCATTACATCGCTTTGCAATTGTTTTGGACGGCAAAAAGAGTAAATTGATATCAGAAGCGGCGGCTGCTCCACTTAAGCAAGGAGCAAACAAAAATATTTGATTGATTTAGGTTATACCGATGATACTTTTTTGCCTAATGTTTATAAAATGAGGAGTGGTAAAAATTTAATCCTAAACTCAATGCAAATGAACTTTTTGGAAATGTTATGATCATATCGAACAATATTGAAACTTTTTATCGGATATTTACTGGATTGCACTCAAACTTAGAGTCGAATTAAATACGAATATTGTAGTTAATCAGCTTGCGCAGATTGTTGTGCGTGAAGCAGGTCTGTATGGATCTTTCTTTGTTCAGGATTTTTAATAAATGCATTTGATTGCTTCATTGGAAAACAAGAAATAGTGAGTTATTAGAGTAAATTTCTCATGCTCATGATAATAAGTACGAGTTCCAGCAGTTTTTCTGCACCTTAAATTTTCAGCCATCATAGGGTAGAAACTTGATGAATTCAACAGTAACACAAATGATCGTAAGCTTTCCAGTTGGTGGCCTGAAAGGTGGCTTTAGTTGGTTTAAAAACCTAGAAGTTTGGTTCGTTAACTTGGAAGTTGAAGGATTTTCAGTTAATTGTGCCGTCATTTCTGAGTCGCGAAGTAGCCACAATGAAATAAACACATTGTATGTTCTTCGATGCACAGAAGTCGAAAATAGAAGAAATTGTAAATAGCTCTGAATGTTTGCCAATTAAGTTTTAACTATCATCACTTTTTCCCCGACCCATGTGTCGCATTAAGATTTAAGAACCATTCCACTAAAAGAAAACAGACAAATCTGGTCACCAAGCTGAGCGACTTGCTCACAAGTGTCAAATTTCATGAGATCATTTCACAATTCGCAAAGAATTTTAATTTATAATACATTTTTATTGAAGTGATAGAGTATGCATAGCCAGGGATGCCTATTATCATTGACGGAATTTAAATTGTCACAACGACAGGTTTTGCCATATAAATTGAGACCAATTATTGTGCGAGTTTCGTACCAGATCTCCTCATCATTCGATGATTGCCTGAAAATGCATTAAATTTCACATCATCACGAATTAAGTTTATAGTCAGAAATGGAATAGTCACCGTCTCGGCGTGTCGGTAAAATACCTCGATCACTTAATTTATTATTAATAATAGGTACTCTGCAAAAATTCCGGACACACCGTATAAATTCCGGATTATCCTATAGACGATCTTTCCTAGATTCCTTCCTTTCCCAGGCAAGTAATCCACTGTATAATCTCAGTCATTTAATCAAAATATCTCTCTTATACCTCTTTCTGTTTTAACACCATTTTTACAGGGATCAGCTCACGAAGCAAAACAAAATGAAAATGCGCTGAATCATAAATTAAGCCCTGCTTAGGAAGGGTCGTATTTGCTTCGAAAACGAATGTCGTAGCATTGATTGACTTGCTTTCCTTCAAACTTAAAAATCAAGTTATGTTTTTCTTTGCGTACATGCACACTTCTTATAAACATTCGATCCTTAAAAGCAATAATCCTCCCCCACTCGTTGCGTGAAATTTTTTATCGTATTAAAACTAGTCAGCGTAGGATGATAACATCATATATTTTGCTTTATTAGACTTCCTATTCAATGTGAATAGGAAGCCATCGCAGTGTAAAAATTGGAATTCCAATCACCATCGCAGTCTGACTCTGAATTTTATGGTCAACAGACTAATTCGCTATTTTTATATTGAAAGAGAACTGTAAAATTTTTGTGAGTTGTAACACAAATTATCATGTGTAGCATTAACAGATTTGCAGGGTAACTTTAAATTAATTCCTGAGCAATTGAGCTCAGCACAAATAATTGACCAAAACTACCAGACGCTGTTCAAGCTAAGCAGGAATCTTATTATTACTAATTTTGTAATCTCGTCTTCTTTAATATCTCGCATACTTCAACAATAGTTTCTTGAGATAAGAGCATTCGGCTATAAAATTTGGCGTTTCTGACGTGTGACCTCGTAAATAACCTTGTACATTGCACGAATAAGAGTAAATGATTGGTAACATGACGAAAATTCCCTTTATGTAGTCCGTCGGGTTACTATGAAAGGCTTAATGCCGTTGACTTTAGTAATTAATTGACTTAATTTGGAAAGCAAAAATGTGGAAACTGACATGGATATCGCGAATCAGAAAGATGGTAATAGCAACAGTCCTCATGGGAGAAGCTTTATTATCCCATATCAGTATAAAATCGCTTAATTGTGTCGAGTACAAGACGAAGAGATTCGGCAACAGCCCTGATCGGTTTATAATCATCAATCTGCGCCAACTTACGCTTTGCTTTGCTACAAGCTGCCCAAATCACCTAAGTGAAAACACCTTGGCAAAATATTTTGGTGGTTTAGCATACAGCAAATTTCAGAAATTTTGCCCTCTCACTTTTATCGAATATAACCCAATTCAATGTGTTAATTTATGTGCGTTAATGTGATTTCCCTTCAATTTTTGTCAAAATAAGACTCCGTAACTATTGAGCCAGAAAATTACATTCCATGTCCAGCGATCAACTTTCGTTTAGAAAGTGTCATTATCCAAAGTTGCATCAATACCAGGGCTAAACACAAGGTAAAAATCTCTTTACGGATTAATCATATAATCGATCATAGCACATTCAAAAAGCCGCGCTCCTGAGAACAAAACAATCACCAGCCCTGCCACTTGCGCTCAACGCTAGTCTTAAAATGTTTGTTTACTAGGTTGCTGTGTAGCGAGATATATCAGAGGCTGGTTTCTATACAAAATTTGAATCTTGTTGAGAAATTTTAAGATTGCAACTTACGAATACAGGGCTGAAAATTACATTTGCACATCGATATCGATCGCATAAAACATATATCAGGTTTAGGGAGGACCAATCAAGAGATATTCTTCGTAGCACAGCGGGCAACTACGCTCCATACAACGACGTTTCTGGGTCTCTGCCCGCGGGCCCTAACGCACGAGGATTAATCAAAGCGGATCAGCGAATTTTCGAAGGCCACAAGGTATATTGAAGTTATATGGAGAACACGCCGCCACGACATAGGACTATAAGCTAAATGCATATAGGTTTACGAGTACAGACATTATACAGACGTTAAATACATATATTTACAGACATTGCAAAGTGTGGTAGGTCAGGCATAGATAGGCTGCCTACTCGCAATAAGCTGCTTCCCGAGAAAGAGGAGCGCAGCCGTGGGTAACAAAATTAACTCGTAAACAGGCCCTGTGCCTAACGCCAACCATCAGCATGCAATATCTACACATAGCCTCAGACCAATGAGCTGTGGGTAACTCCAAACAGTATATCCGCTTTGCACAACACAGCCGCTGCTCCACAGCGCAACTGGCCGGAGCGCAACTGGCCCTACCGCAACAGGCGGCGCAGGTTAGGTTAGGTTAAGTTACGTAGGAGTAGTTGTTGCGGTAGGGCCTGTTGCGCTCCGGCCAGTTTATTGTGCTCCGGCCTGTATGCGCTCCAGCCTGTGACTGAACGGCGCTGTTGTGGTGGGCGCTTTGTGTCAAAAGCCGTGAAGATGCCCGGCTGCGTTACGCTCGGGAAGGTATATGAATCGCACTGTGGACTTGGGCTATGCTGACCTCTAGCTATCCACCCCGAGGAAGCACAATAAGCATGCTTCTTCTCTTCAGTCTTTGTTAGAGAGGTGCGGCGGCTGAAGAACACTAATAGCATTTAGAGTGCGGCCAAGGCTGGCCCGCTACAGTAGGTTATTGAATACTCCGACCATTCACATGGAGAAAAATCAGTTTTTCATATAATTCAATATTTACTCAGTCGCAATTTAAAAAAAAATGCAGGACACTAAAACTCTGGGACAATGAACTTCTGTAGTGCAAGTTTTAGTTTCCTGCTGTGCGAATCACAAATAATTGCTACCACTTCGTTGCAGATATCACGTAAAACTCGTCGATACATTGTCAGTTATTCGATGTAGACATATTTCTGACACTGATCAGACAAGTGACCTTCAGCAGCTAGAGGTTTCCTAAAGAAGTAATTGTACAGTTATAAGCCTTAGATTTAGCTACATAAAATCCGATATTGCAATGCTTTTTACAACACTTCTCTTTAACTTCACTTCTTGTTTGTTTGTTTGTTTGTTTGTCTGTCTGCTAAAGTCTTTTAGTCGATATTTAACACACTTCTACCTGTCCAAT